TTATGCTGGTCTGGCAAATGTATCAGAAGATATTATCATACAAAAGTGTCTCTCTACAACTGCAATTTTTCAGTACGGTCAACTGTGACATGTTTCTTCTGACTTTTTCTGACATTAGTCTTTTCCATCATGACGCATTGGATAAACGTCCTACATTGCCCAAGTCTGGTATTTTGTCTCGTAGTGGTTGTTGCACCTGAGAACCACAGGTGTGTAGAAGATTTTTGTGTACGTTCATCATCTGCCCTTCCTGTCAGTCCTATCACAGAGAGTACAATCACGGGTGCTCAAAACCACAGGACGGCTTATTCAAGCTGCTTTTGACCACAGTAACTACTAATGAATAAAACGTTTGTGCACTTGCTTCTACAGGAGGAGCCAAAACGGACTCCACAGTGTCCCCAGCGGACGAGAGAAAGAACGGCAAGCACGACAAAGAGAAATAAACTGCCTCCTTGCTCCAGACTGCCCTACAGCAAACAGAAGGAAAAGGAAACGGATGTTCTACAGACTCGCATTCCACAAACGTCTCCAGTGTCTCGCCTCTTCCCCCACCCTCCCTAACACCTGTGGCTGGAGTGAAGCAACCAGGTGATTTAGAGGCACCTCCGCGAACTGTAGCCAACAAGGTGTTTTTTTCAGAGTTTTGAAATGTTTTCGAGAGTACCTATGGCATTAACGTTAAACAAACAAAACCAAGCCTACGGGAAGTTCTTTAAATTCCCCACGAGTTCAAGCTTTTTTGAACAGCCGCTAGATCTGATTGCCGTTGCAAAGCAATGAGGAAAATGGCCAATCTAGACCTATGTAGGGTCTTCAGTCATAGAGGTGTTTCCATGTTTGCCTTCACAGTGGGAGGGAAATGTGGGGCTGGTTGGGGGCGTTGTGCCCACTCTAAACATCACATGTTGACGAGATAAGGGAAATAACAGAAAGCAACCCACAAAGACCCATGGGATCAGGAAGCATGAGGTATTAGAACTGAACACCAGCAGATGGTGTTGGATGTACTGTACAAAGCCACTAGCAAAGGCAAACCTGGGAACCCACATTGAACCTGCTTAGTTCATTTTACCTTGCATAACCGAGTCTGTATTAAGAAAATTCCTGGGAAGTGAACTATTTGTGAATATTGTGTTGTCTTTTCTACCTTCTATTTATGTCCAGCCCCTGTGGTCCCGTTTAGAGCAATAATCCTCATATATATTTGTATAAAAACATCTACAGTATATGCAGATTAACTGCTGTGTAACAGCAGGAAAAGTGCATTAAATAGAGACAGATGATTGCAAAGCAGAAATGCACAATCAATAATGTGCATTTTGACTGTGCAGTCTTGTGAATATATTGAATCCCACTTTCAAATGAACACAGGATGATGGTGAAAAATCGCAGATTGCTGAGCCACATGTCGGTAGGGGCCAGTGTGTTGAAATGGCTTTGTAATGTGCCATCTCTTCCCTTAACGTATCCAGGGCCTATCATCATTCTGCTGGAAGAGGTCAAAGGGCACACAGTCGGCACATGTGGCAGCCCCTGTAATGAAATACAGTGCGAGAGAGGATATAAAAGTGAAATGGATTTAAACCTTTTTAGGTAAAAGCTTAATTGCTGGAATGTCAAATCTATAAAGAATAATTTCAGGAGAATTAAAAAAGGAAATAGTAGTGACATGCAAGAATAAAATGCAGTAATTAAAAAAAAACTGTCACTTGTTTTCTAAGGGCAGACTTGCAACATACTGAACACTGCCATGGTGTTGTCTGCTTAAATCAGAAGCCAGTCTTCCTTTGAAAGTGGGCATCTATTTTCTCAACGAGAAACCATGTAGATTTCGTAGGTAATTCTTCTCACTTTGGCATTACTGATTGCCGGCAGGAGTCTGAAACCTGCAGCTCCGCTGTAGGTCCCCTCAGACACTGGCAAGATGTAATTGGGAACAGGGTGTTTTTGTTCCATTTATAATAACTGACTTTCTACTGTAATGCCTGTCCTTATTTGTAAGTTCCTCTGCCAGTAGAATCTAAAAGATTGAATTTGTTAAAGAAAGCAGGAAGAAAATAACCCCCCTCCTATTACGCCACTGTTTTAAAAACCTTTGCTTGGCTGCATTAATTTTACACCCACCTAAAATTGCATTTAATTAAACATAAACAACAGCATCAAACGTCTGTTCCCTTTAACTATTTAAAGAGGTTCAGCACATTTTCTTTCTGAAAATGTTTCGGAGCTTAAAGCTGGATTCCACCAAATCTCAAAACCCAAACCATTTTCCTCTAAATATTGGGACCGACTCACAGATGTTAAGGAATGTTTTCCAGTGCTCGCTTGTGTTTCCTGGCTCACAATTAGCTATGGTGTACAGTGTACAGTGGTGTACTGCTCTGAACGTAGTGCAGAAATGTGTGATGATAATGTTTGTCCTTTAGCTGACTTTATTTTTTAATCAGAGCAAACGATAGGACATTGGTTTTACATCTCACTGGAAGAGCAGAGCAGGTCACAGGAAAGTGAGGCTGAGTAGTTCGCAAAGGGGTTCTGCACTCTAAGTCTGTTTCAGAGCCGGGGCCTGAATCATGAACCTTCTGGTGAAGAGCCACTCTTCTGAAACCACAAGGATCGCCTTGCTTGCATGCAGGCCATAGCTCATTAAGAGAGGCCCTCTGGACCTGCTGTTCTCTGTTGAATAAAAAAAAAGGCAAATCTATACAGTGATGAAACTGCCATGGCACACAGACTTCACCAAGATAAAAAATGCCTTAAATGTGTCAGTGACTTGTGTGCTCTGTCAGTTCCTCGTTGTGTATGTACAATCTGAGAGGAAAAAAGGCGTTTACTTCACAGCACATGTTTCTGGGTTCCTTATATGCTGCATATAAAAACCAGCCCAATGTGTATAAAAGGTACAATACACAAAGGGTTGTAGGGGTCTTGAACAAACCTCCCAGCCATGTTGCTGAAGCAGGTCCCCTGGGGTCCTTCAAGAAAAGCATGGATGGAATTCTTGGATCAGTAAATTGCCAGAGTAAAAATGCTAAAACAATCTTCTTTTGGTCGTAACTGGTTTTATGTTCAAATTGCATTGATGTCATGTATCTGGGGTCAAATTAAATCCAGACCCGTATCTATTAGCCAAATGCAAAATTACAAGCTCAGTTTGGGGTAATGCAAAGTTCCTCTGCCTGGTAAGTTAAATATTTGATGAAATCTGGTTTGGACGCTGGTCAGTTTGTGAATTGCCCTCGGTTCACCCTTCAGACACATCTGACTATCACAATGACATATCATGTAATAAAATCAAGATTAAAAATCTTGCGTGAGGAGTGGGGGGATCAATTAAATCCATAAACTGATGTGGTCCAGGAAGTAGAATCCAGTATCATTAGAACTTTCAGACAAAAAAGCATTTTGTTGTGGTTTTCCTAACTTTCTCAGCATTTACCGAAAAAACATTATCTTGTGGGGGTGTGTGAGAACTTGTGAGTGTGTTTTGACAAAGGGGCACAGTCTGTTGAGCTTCCCCGATTGACAGCTTAAGTATTCTGCAGGTCTGATAGACAGCACCCAGGGACTCAGATTGCCAGTCACGAACCAGAGGACACAGGTGGAAGCTAAGTGGAAGTGCACCTAGAACAGGAGAGACAACTTTAGGCAACGCATTTTTGGAGTCTGGATAAAGCAGCCCCAGCCGTATTGTTCAAGCAGATATTATGCCTTCATTAAATTCAACAACTGAATAATGAGCTCCTTTGAGCAACAGGCTACTAATTGTTAAACAGGCATGAAACTGGAAAGGTCTCCTTTTGTTTATAAGCTTTCTTGTGAGTGGTCTCTAGTCTCATTTTTACTTAGACTTCTTGCCATAGCAAATTGTGTTTTGCAGTGTCCAGGCTGCCTAGTCACCTTTTTTAATTATTGTGGTTTGTGTCAAGTCCTAACTGACCCATTGAATATAGCCTGTGATTATAAATACTGTATATCTGTGCACAGAAGGGAAATGGAATCAAATGCTTAGGTTGAAATCAGAATAGCAGGCTGCCTTAATGAGACTCCTTTAATCTCATTAGACTAAATCTGACATCTTCACATTCTGCCTTCTTTGAGAGCTGATTTGCTACGAATACATGCGGGACGATTTCAGACTTGCTTCACTGCTTCTTCCAGACAACATGTTGAGATTTAAAAAAAAATCATAGACAGTCTTTGAGAGGAAAGTAGGGTTCCAAACCAGAGTTGAAAAGCCAGGGTTGTGGCAAATGAAAAAAGGCAATGCACAAGTCTGGGAAATGAATCAGGACAAGGATCTGATTTTACATGCTGATGGGACACATTCCTGCTGCTGCTCAAACCAGAGACAGGGAGATTGTTCATCCTATGAGTGGCAACCAGCACTTGTGTCTTGTCAGCTCTTTTGAGATCAGGAGTTTAGAGCATTCATTTCAGAACTGGGATTTTTTTTGTTCTATTGCTTTCAGCATGGGAGATATGCATGCACGATATCACACATTTGAGGTTTTATGTTTTGTTTTTGTTATAGGGCAGGGGGGACCCCTGTTTGTTGTGGCAGGCCTCACCTTTTGGGTGTCGCTTTGCTCTGAGTGAAAAGAAAATAGCTGATACCACTTCAGAAGAACAAGGGGGACCCTCTACTAGAATATAGTGAAGTATACATTTGTATACATTTCTGTATATGTATTGCTATAGATGCTGTACAATTGTAAGCCTACACAGCTGTATAAAAAAGTGTTCTTTTATGATAAAGATTAATAGAAAAATATACAAACATTAATATCTGTCATTTGAGTTCTTTGTTTTTTTTTCCTCGCTGTTTTGGTATCTTGACCAGCTACCACTGTGTTGTCTTAACACAGGGGCGGCACCATGTTCAACTCGCGCTTAATGTGTAAAGAGGGGTGAAGGGTGCCCAGTAACAGTGGTTGCACAGCATCCCCACCCAGCTCATTTCCTACAATAATGAGCCATTTATCATTCTGGTGCTAGAGTTTTCATACTGTAGGTTAAGGTGGGTGGTTTTGCAAATTTCAGAAATTCCAGGGAGCATTACAAACTGGATTTACGCTTTACACTCCAGGTCGGCAGTCAGGCATCTGGATTTCTAAACTTGAAGGTTGTGGGCTCAAATCCCAGGTGAGCAAGGTGCTTTCGCCTGAATTGCTCCAGTGAAATACCCAGCTGCATAAAGTGGTGCCAATGTAAGTTGCTTGGATAAAACACATCAGCCAAATAATTTCGTATAGAAAGTGCTTGCAGGCTATACTGCATATTCTTTTAGTGCCATATCTTTGATGTGCTGCTCAAAAGAAAATTCATAGGCCCATTGAAGATGTTCATGCTACACTTTGCTGTTTGGGTTTTCATCATCTCTTGTGGGCAACACAAGAGGCATGTAAGAGATAAAGCAAAACTGAACATCATGGCTTTGTCCTGATGCATTCTGCTATATATCAGATAGAATGATTTCCGAAAACCCTTGTACTATTTCACTTTCCCTCAAGCAGAAGTGGTGTACCATGTGCAAGCTCAGTAGCTCAAATTTAGCACTAGGGCCACATTATTTAGAGTGTGCTTTTCAGGGCTGATTGAAGAGACCATATAAAATGATTTTTTTTATCATTAAATGGGCAAAGGGGGTAAAAAAACACATTGCATTTGAGTTTCAAAGGTCTTGTGTGGATAACCAAATTTTTTGGTAACAGCAAAATAAAATTATGGATTTTTATATTAAAATTATATTACCACTTTTAAGATTAATAAGGAATGTATATTTAAGTGGTGATGATTGTGAATTAAAAGCTTTCAGTGCCCAGTGGTGCATTGTTATTTGAAAATTGTGTTATTGTGTCAAATACGTATTTGTGTATTTCAGTTTTCCCCTTGTCCATTAATACAGCGACGGCAATTACTGTACTTGTCAATAGCTGACTGACCTCTATCAGACTCTGAGACACCCTGCAGAGAAGAGATATTTTCTGGCTCTCTGGTTCAGCTCCTGCTGCTTTGAACACAGAGGGAGTAGGTTTGTTCACAACACTTCCAGATGGAGAACCCATGACACACAAGAGAATGGTAAAACGAAAGTTTATTTACAGTATGCAAAATTGAAAAACTTGTTCACTTTTAATAATGCATTACGTTCCCTGCTGGGGCAGAAAGGTGTCCCCGCTCTGGTAGAGAGGAGATCTGCGATTCGAGCGTTTGTGCTGGAAAAAACACTGTCCTGCAGTGACCCTTTGCAAAGTTCTAAACATCTTGTTTAAAACAAAACTAATGCAACTTACTGTGTGAAAGGCCAGGACGTGCAGCGGGCACTTATTTCTCAGTGGGCGCCGAGATCAATCACAGCACTCGTCCAGAACAGTGAGGAGGTTTATTTGCCTGTACCCATTGCTCAAGGTGTTTTTTTTACGTGTCTTGTGCCATGTCCTGACCTTTCACATACAGTAATAAAGTGTGATTTAATCAAGAAACATAACTTTTTTTTGTATTCCAAACTACCTTTTCCCAATTCACATTCCAGTAGGGACAGCCAGGAAAAGTGAGGAAACCTTACATCCCAGCTGGAGAATAGGCACAGTCCTGCAGCGCCTGAACAGTCACAGTTAGTCCATAAGTTAGTGCCCGTGGTTACATGAGCACCGAAAAAGGCATGCATCCTGCATACTAGCACCCCGGCCATCTGTGCCTTTCAACAAATCAACCCCTTTTCTTACTCCCACCTGCTCAGGTACAGTAAACACGCTGCCAAGCAGGATGTTCCAGGATGCACGCAGATCTGTTGGGTGTCTTCAAGAGACCCCCTTGTTCATCCTGGCCTTGTGAAGCAGTTCTTCCAAAATGCAACATTATGGTGTGAAAGCCTATGGCGGTGCTACAGCTGTGAACTCTTAATGTTTAATAATCAAAGGAATACACTTACGTCCAATAACATGTAACTGGAAAGGTATTTGATATGCAGGGGGAGTGCTTTCAGTTTTCAATTAAAATGCAAATAATTAAATAAATAAGACTCATATTGTAATCTGCCTGCGCCTCAAAGCTTTCTAATATGACTGAATAAATACCACATATCTATTAATTTTTGATTAATTACTTTACAGAGTTGTCACACTCCCAGGTCCCAGAGAGCCACAGTCTTTTAGAAATTGTTCCAGTCAAGCCCCCCTCTTACTTATCTGTCTTAATTGTTTTAGTAACGAATGATTGAACATCCCAGGGCTGTTAAACACTTCTACAGCTTTTTCTCCATCTATCAAGTGAATCTTTAAAACTATCACCTTTAACAATAAAACCTTGAGAAATACAAAATACTGTGTTGAGCCTAAATTAAATGCCAGCTTGAAGAAAGTAAACAGCCTCCTGAGAAGTCTGCAAGACAGACTTTTACAAACATCCACAGTGCTGAAGCACTACCTACAGTAAATCATGTCTGTACCCTCTGGTTACATAACTACTGTATACAGTACCTACAATCTGAAGGTGCACACAAAACCCAACCCCTTTCCGATTCCATGAAGATTAAAAAAGAACAAAAATGAGCAAAGACATTTTTAGTTTAGTTGTGTCAGTGCACAACTAAACTCGACTGGTGAATGATCTGTATGGTGTCCTGGGCGAGGCTCACTGTGAAATGGTTATAATGGGGAAGCCAGATGCTTTCTGGTGCGGGCCGGGTATCAGTCATGTACCCACTTCATTGGCCACACTCCCACTCTTAGCAAATGACAGGAACTCGTCACACATACAGAATCAACTGGGCAGAACTGTGCATCGTGGTAAGTCCCGGCCTCTCTCATTGTAGTGCAACTGTTACAGAGGTGATGAGAGCATCTCTGTTGCATGGTCTGGGGAGAGGGTGCATGTGGATTTATTTTCTCGTGGTTCATATTCAGATTTTCTGCCAATTGCTAAAAAAACAACAGCCCTTGAAATGTGTTCCGGGAAGCACAAGGACGATGTCTCTGTTGATTACTGTAAGATGCTCTGCTGCAGGCACTTCCAATGGATAGTATAAATAACTGGCTAAAGGCCACTGGGGATTTTGCCACATTTTTCTTCTGAACACACCTCCAGAAACAGTCCTTTTGTCTGATGATGTGACACCAGAAGCACGTCATGAGTGAGTGTTAAGAGTGTAACCTCCTGTACACCTCTTAACACGACCTGCATTCTTGCATTGTCATTCCGTAGCTACCCTGTGTCACAACATTTTGTGTTACCGACTTGTTTTAATGACACCAAAGCAATGTCCTAAAGGACGATGGGGCGCCCGCTTCGTGGACGCCCTCTCGACGGGACACTCAAGAGGGTTCGAGCCGGGATGGTTTGCACACCACTTGAGCTATGTAAAAGAAAGTGATGGGCTGTTTTCATGTCAGGCTGGCTGGCGTGGAGAGCATGGGTTCTCTGCCCGTCTTCCAAGCTGGCTAGTCTTCAGTGAAGATCTCTGTAGTGTCTTCCTCTGAAAGGCCTTCCTCATTGGGTGACAGCTCCTCAATGGAGCTCTGATCTGCTGAGCCTGTGGGGACATTGAGGACTCAGATTTAGGAGATGGTTCTCGCTCAGATGTTAGTCAGGACACTGGGACTAGAAACAATATTCATTACCTCAGGCCCCAAAAGGACAAAGTCTCCTCTAGGCTTCCATTATTTAGTTTGGTCCCAGTTGATAAGCTGAAAACTAATGTGATGAGTGCAGCTCTCCCTGTCCGTGGCCAGGATCTGATCCCGGTCGCTCACAGGCTCCGGACACACACAGCACTTCTCCCTGGAGAGTCTACCCTCTCAGAGGGGGGTGACGTCACTTCTGTAACTCGGTGCTTGAGCCCTGTGACACCTACACTTTCCAGACAAACTCAGAACTAACTAAATAAACCTCAGCTATCCAGTAATGAGCTGCCTCTGTTCTGTTACACCCTAAGAAAGGCAGTCCTGTAATTTGCATGTCTGATGGAAATGGGGTTCCTCAGCGATCATGAAGCAGGAACAGGTGAGCTCGAATTCTAAGAAACTAAGTCATCAGCTCTAACCCTAGACAAAAATCTGACTTTTGAAACTTCGTTTCTTAAGGTGTAAGTCCATTCCTGAACCAAGCAAATATGTAAGTTGTACACATTTAATGCTTTCAGTAGGAATGCTTTGCACATATGGCCACTTACCACATAGTAACATTTATTGTGCACAACTCACTCAATAGTTACCTCATCAAGCAAGAAACGAGCGTTTTATGGACAAATGAAACTGCCATGCTAAATTGAATCAGGTCGTGCGGAGGTGCGCGTTGAATTCACTTCCTCTCATAGTAACAGGGGAAGGGTTAGGGGACTCATTCTGGAAAACATTTACTATTTATAGCAGTAGTATTTTCCCTCAGAATATGTTTCGTACGCATTAGAATATTATACTAATATTTTTTCTCATATAGTTAGATCTTGAGACAGCGTGGGAGAGGTACTGACTCTCTTACTGTATGTCCACTACTAGGCTAATGCCAGTGTTTTTTTACGTGTGATCAGATGGTATTGGTGAAGCTGTAGGCGGATCTAAAAAGATACAGTTTCCATATAGGAACCGAACTTCAAAGCGGTTGCGTTATTAGTATTGGTATTCGTTGAAGTGGACTGAACGTAAACGCGCACGGTGACCCCTCGTGGTTTTGAGGCGGAGTAAGAAAAGCCAGCATCCCAAGGCCTTACCGTTGGATGCCCTGTCTTTCCACTTGAACTTGTTGTCCTCCGTGTGTCGCGTCCACGTCGAGCGGAAGCTGACGAGCTCGGCGTTGATGTGAGCCAGGCTCCACTGGAGACCCCAGGAGCTCTCTTTCCACAGCGAGCTGGGGGCAACAAAAACAGGTACAGTAAATTGTACTTTTAAAAATGGCACATGGTGCTTCCGTGTACAAAATATCACTCCCTACAGTTAAACCGGACTGCGCTGAGAGAGAAGGTTCTCGAAATGAGGGCCACGGCCTCTGGCGCAGTAATTGTTTCGAAAAAAGCGCTCGAAATACTGTAGCAGACGTAATAAAAACTTTTTACCCCCTTCTGTAACGTACTGTACACAATTGAACATAACCGTTCTTATGCATTTAAAACAGGTTACAACACCAGTTATACCCGAGAAACGTGAGGTTTTATAAAAAAAATAGCATTTGTATTTTTTCTTAACGCACTGTACTATTGCCCTGATATTGCGCGAATTTTATACTTCTCACTTGAATACCTGCTGGTATTCAATTATTATGATAACGGCGACTACGTACAGTACATATAAAATTACAGTGCAACCAAAATGGAATAAATAAGCATCATTAAATACATATGAACAAGTAAAGGTTTATTTTATGCCGAAAACAACACAGCCGAAACGTAGTTTCTTCTCTTTTCAGCATGGAGTAAACCTTCACTTGTTCCTTTGCATACTACGCATGCTGAGGCAGCTACAGTACCTACATGAACTTCATTAACAACATATAACAATTTTAATTAAAGTAACTGAATAGTGTCTTCCTTCCACCAAAACCATTGATATGCAGATACTGTATTCTAGTCTTAAACCCATGTTTACTGTAGCACTCAAGTGGATATAAGTTATTGCAAATCATTACCACCTGGTGACACCAAGTATTACATTAATAGTAGGCTTAATTAAAATTTGGGGAAGAGATCATCCTAAGTTTATCACAATTAGAAGAACTGTTTCCTGCTGATATAGTTTCGTGTTCTGTTTATAATTAGAGTGTTGACTTTCTGTGCTTTTTCCCATGAAAACAGTTAGAAGTGCATACTGGATAAGTACATACACAGTACCTGTGTCGTTTGCAGGGATCTGGTGGGCTGGGGTTCTCCTGAACCAAGGGGATAACAATCTTCTCTGCCATGTCGGTCAGCAGGGAAAAAGTAGGGTCCACGATGAAGTCGATGAAACCTGCACAGTTATTATTTGTTTAGCTGATGCCCTTCTGCAGGGCAGCATACAGCAGACGTGTGAGATTTACATTAGGTCAGTAACAATCATGTGCGGATGACACGTCAACAAAATGAAACATAAGGCCAGCACAAACTGGAAGAGCTGTGCAAGCAATAGGCAAAATAAAATTATTTAAGATTTAACACCATATTCAGCGTGGACAGCAAGTGTTTTTCCATATGTCACAAGGTCCCCTGCCTTTGCTTAGTGCCACACTTGTGGCATGGGTGGATCAAGATATTTTGTAACAGCACGCTGCCAGTTAACCATCATAGTGCTGGAGGGGTGCCTTTGCTTGTTAAAGATCTGGGCCTGTCTGTGAAATGCAAAGCAGCAGCAGGCCTGATCTTGTGCTTGCAGATTGTGACTCTAGATGCTCTATGCTCTCATACCGCTTGCCTACCTGGAGCTTTCCTATGTGTTGAGTTAAATGTTCATATGGGGCGAAGATAATGTGAGTTGGTACAGTACAGGTACTTTACCGATCTGGGATTCTGCTACTAGGGTGGTCTTCCGGTCGCACAGAGGAGAGAAGGGAAGACCCAATTCTGCTTCCATGTCCCCCTGGGAGAAACAAGATCTAGGAGTTAAATGCCAGTGCTATGACTTTTTATTTGTGCAATAACAGAAAACTAACTCCAGGACTTCTCGGAGTCTTTCAGTGCGACTAGCACCTCAGTTTTCATATTGATCCAGCCAATTATCACTGAAAGAACCACAGAGCTGCGTGAGACTGAAGTACTGCAGTGTACTGAGTCTGACAAGACCTACCCTGTCTGGTTAACATCAAAGATGGGAATGTCAAGTGTATGTTTATCTGCTTCTTTCACTGTGCCGTGGAAATGCCAAACAAAAAAAAAAACTTAATTGCTGTTCAGTTTTCAGTTCTTTTTTAAAGTCATTTCCTCTTTTTCAGTTTGGATCAATCATTTCAATCTGCAGTGTATTTTATGGCAGAGGCAGTGTTGGTATTTGAAGTGATTAAAAAGTATTGTGTATTAAAAGTAGGAATTGATTTTGACAAAGGATTGGAAGTGGAACTATAGTTAAAAAAAACAGAGAAATGTCCTTGCACTCTGATGGAGATTGAACTGGCAATTGATCTGACTTGATTGCCTTGTCTTATCCTTTTGTTTTCTAGTACATTTTAAATAAACCAAACCAATAGGTTCTGGCTCCCCTGCGACTCAATATTAGATAAAATGGATGAATGGATGGATAAACCAAGCCAGAGTACTGGAGGGTGGCTCTAGTGCCATAAGGAGAGCTAACAACTGCTACTTTTCTGTCTCTTCAAAACCTCGTAGACAATGCTTGCACCCGTAGAAGGCTCCACAGCCACAACGTTTTGTTTTCTTTCTTCTCTTTTCAGCATGGAATAAACCTATTACTTCTTCCCTCATAGACAATAGTGTGTACCAGTTTGCTACTGTAGGTCCCTGGGCAGGATCATGAGTTTAGTGCAAATTCAGCAACTAGTCATACTGTAGATGGAGTTTAATAGTTGTTATTAGATATTGGGATTATTTGAAATTGATTGGAACAAGATAATTTTCTAGCCCCAGCTGTGGTCCTTACTTAGGTCGTCACCCTGACTTGGCAGTCATTACCTGTCTGAAGAACTCCTCCATTAGGGCTTTGGTCCAGCGAACATGCAGTGGCCAAGGCTTGGTAGGGTGGCTGATGTCAGCAGTATGAAGCAGCAAAGACAGAGCCTTGGGCTTGTCTATTCTGAAGATGCATAATGAAAAAAATTAACTTTTATCCTCAACACCAATTACCGAAAACCATTTTAATACCTTTTTTTTTAAATGCTGACAGTTGCCATAGTTAATCACAGAAGGTAAAACTTTGAATTTCCCATTGAATTGGTGCATCATGTTTGTCACCTTGTAATACAAGCCCACCCCATTTCCAATTGCCATCAAGGACAAGAAAGCACTGTCATAATGTAATTATAAAAATTTTTTCATTGGTAACAGTTTGGCAAGAGGAAATATTTTCAGATTTCTGACCAGTTAAATAGCTAAATCCTTCCAATTGACTTTTCCACTTTGTTCATTTTGGAGTCCTGGAAATACAAGACAGCCAGGTCTTGTGATGCCTCCCCCCTGCCACCAGAGGGCAATCAAGTGCTGGAAGCACAGTACCTCTCCTGCTGCTGTAGACACGTCTTCATGGCTTTCACCTGCAGTAGATGGGAGGACATGTCTGTTGCCAGCACCATCTCTATGACCAGCGATCGCAGCTCCCTGTTCACAGCAGAGACCGAGAGAGACAGAGACAGAGATCTGTCATGCACAGGTGTCCATTACACTAGGAGATCCCAACTCTAGGTCCTCATGGTTTGAAATCTAGTAGGTTTTAGTATTGCAGAGCTTTTCACATTGGAGAGGTGTTAATGTGATTCAAGTAGGTATGGTTAGTTATAATTGAACCTACTTATTCCTGCTCTAAAGCCTCAGGATAGTGACTATTAAAAAGACAGAGAAGACCTGCTGAGTTTCAGACCCCAAGCACAGAAATTGAGAACACTTCCGTCGCATCGTTAAACTTTGTGGTCCTTAAATAGCACTGTGCTGCTTATGTTAACTTGCATTTCTGCACATCCAAAAGGGGTTTGGAACGCAATTCGGTATGCACAGAATAGCTGAGGTTCGTGATGGAATATTGACATGGTTGTCTTTGAGTCATTGGTGCATTTTATAGATTTTACAGAAACATGGTTGACTCTTTCATAGAGCATTTGTCACATGAATGAAGATTTCTGAATCTGAAGGTATGTTGTCAGATGGTAGGTTGAGGTGTTTTTACATAGAGCTACCTGATAGGAGTGTCAGTTCCCTCACATTTCATTTTCATGGCCAAGGCAAGGAAAGGATCATTTTCAGTATACTGATACAGCATATACACACCTGGGCTGGTGTGATGCACAGAACCCAGCTTTCGATTTAAGGCAGTGTTTGTATCTGCACTTTTGTTGAAGTGTTTCTCAGCCTCTGGGTGGAGGCTGCTTGTTTTTTAAAAGCAGGTGGATGTTAGGAGTGCGGAGGAGAAGGGAGTGAGTACCCCGCTGGTTCTTACACCCATTCTTCCCGGGAGAGGTTGCCGAAGATGTTCATCTGCTGGTCCTGCATCAGCCTGAAGGCGGCGCTCACATGGTGACTCTCCATGACCGAGCGGTCATTGTAGATCATGGCATAGTTGGATCTGTCGAGGAAGAGGGGTACACCACATGTAAATACAGTACATACGGAGCAGTGACACTGTGGCTGATCTGCGCCTGTGGCTGGAAGGCCGCTGTTTCAGATCTCGCAGCCGGCAGAGGGATCCTACTCCGATGGGCCCCTGAGCATGGCCCTTAACCCCAGCTTCTCCAGGGGTGCTGTACAATGGCTGACCCTGCGCTCTGACCCCAGGCTTATCTCCCTGTTTGTGTCTCATGGACAGCAAGCTGGGGTATGCGAAAAGATTAATTCCTAATGCAAGAAATTGTACAGTATATGGCTAATAAAGTGATCTTATCTCTCTATACGACTCCAAACATGAGGAGGCCATTTGGTCCGTCTTCCTTATGTGGTTGCTAGTAATTAATTGATCCAAGTGTTAACCAGTTAACACACACTCAAGCCAATGAACCTGCCAGCATGTCTATGGACTGTGAGAGGAAACCCATTCGAATGAGGGGAGAACATACAAACCACCGTTTTAAATCCCTTGATCTAAATTCTAACCTTAATTATGTATTCTAATATTTGTTTTGCTCTTTTTATTGATTCCGGTAGGTGTGGTTAACCGGGTTCATTCAGAAGTGCTTCCCACTGTTGTCTTGTAAGAAGGTTTTGAAAAAGTCAGGCCACCAACGTCTTTCATCCCTGCTCTGAACTGCAGTGTTCTCAGTGAACTTTATTATTTGACAATTAGTGGGATCAGTTTTACACTTAAGAGGCTAGTTGTATAGAAGCACTGCAGTCTGAAGTCTTGTTACAGGCACATGCCTGAGAATGTAATATAAGAGGCTTTAATTCGTGGAAAAACCTATCTTTTGGTTTGTAGTAAAATCTCAACTTGAAGGGAGCAGAGTAATTTTAACCAACCTGTATCCATACAGTATGTCTGTCTAGTATATAATATACCTCTGGTTAGGCTTTTAAGAGGCAGCACGCTTTCTTTCTGTGGTGACTGGGGGAATGTTAGAGGCTACACTGCAAACTGGTTCTTTTTATGCAAAATTTTAAAATCGGAGACTCAAATTAGTTTTGTAATTAGAAGGGAAATTGCTCAGAAAATGTCCCTTGGAGCTGCTGTTTTGCAAAGCCAAGCGGAAGACATTCCTGGTAAACTACAGGTGCTCAAGGGACCGATTTAATTAAGCAGAAGATAAAATTATGAAAGGCCCTTTTAACAGAATCGAAATGGCAGTAGTGCACTCTTATTGGTCACGTCTGGACAAGATTTGGATGGGCTGGAAGTGTTCTTGCCAAATAATTGTGTTTATATAGTGCTTTTCATCCCAAAGAATTCTGAAGCACTTCTACTACATATATAGAAGAGGATCCAATTCATCCATCACTATAGTGTAGCATACATCTGGATGATGTGCTGTAGCTACAGTATTATACATCTACAGTACATGTTCATGCAGCTTCACTACAGTAAACCACGTATCGGGTGGTGAGAGAGAAATTGCTTAACAGGTTTATTCAAGAGGGAGGGTCAAACTGTACAGGAACAATGTGGAGTTTAGTCAGAACACTAGGTAACATTTCTGTATTTTACAGACAGTGCTCTGGGATATTAAAAAACCTACTACTATTTAAATAGTAGTAGGGAACTTAGTTTCAGTGTCTCATCCACATATTCACAAACACTTTTCAGTTTCAGTGTTTGACCTCCATATACAGGTATATATATGATGTTTGACACATATAGATGCAGTATTTCTATTGCAAAAACATCATCTACCTCAGAAATATTGTCAGACTATATTCTATGTTGTAACTGATTTTAGCTGAAAAGCTGGTCAAACACTTTTGTCTTCTCTCGAATTGATTACTGTAACGCTCTACGCGCTGGGGTATCTAAATCCACACTAAACAAACTTCAGTATGTCCAGAATGTGGCAGCCACAATCCTGACCAGGTCTTGTGCAAGGTATCACATTACTCCTATCCTGGAGTCCTTGCATTGGTGTCCTGTCAGGCTTTGCTCAGCTTCAAAATCCTCATGCCCATCTATAAAAGTCTACATGGCTTGGCACCGCAGTACCTGTCTGACTAAGTGCCATCCTGTTCTCCATCTTGCAGCCTTCATCTAATTCTATCCCTAAGGATATTAGGGAGTCGCCTTCCCTGAGTACCTTCAAATCAAGACTCAATAACTTCTTACCCATGTGAACATGGGGAGAACATACAGACTCCATGTAGATAGGACCCCAGGTGTGGAATTAAACCCAGGGCCCCAGTGTTACTGTGCCACTCTCACTGTAAAACTCAAAATAAAAGTTAGTTTTCGGGGTGATGAAACAAATCCAGATCTCTTGGTAATGGTGATATATTTTTCTTTTCTAAAGCTTATAGGACAGGAATAGAGTAAAGGTTAGTTTTCGGGGTGATTAAACAAATCCAGATCTCTTGGTAATGGTGATATATTTTTCTTTTCTAAAGCTTATAGGACAGGAATAGAGTAAGACCTTTCTATGAGACTATAGTGACTCATTGCAAAGTCCTGGAAATGACATTTTCTTGTTGGTCTGGTTTTAAAATGTGCAAAGTAAATAAAGCGAGAACTTTTGATTCCCAGAAATGAATCCCAGCGGTGAAGAGGTTAGCGGTGTCTTGTGTTTCCTGTAAATATCCAATTTTGGAATGCAAATATGGTCTTTAAAGTATTCCATGAAAAATGATAAGACTTCTGCATATCACTCCTTGCTTTCCAAATTTAAAATATTTTTTTATTTTTTTCTAATACACGGACTAGACAGCTTTATTGTTTCAATGTATTATTTGCTTGCATGTGTTATTTTATAAAACAACACAGCAGCTCACGTAATAATAAATTGACGTGCACTGAAAGCTAGAGGGAAGCTTTTTTGTAGACTTTCAAGATTCAGTGACTGAAGAAATAAAACTGTTACAGAACTGGCAGAGTGCAATTTGAGCCTCCCTTTTACTTTCAGGTTCTCTGAGAATGGGCCTCGTACTTTCTTTCCAAAAATAAAATGAATAAAACGTGCCAGAACCCAGTCAACTTTGGTACTGAGACTTTGAAAAAAAAACATAACAGGAATTCCAATAGCCTGCTAAAAATATACCCTGTAAAAAAAAAAAAAAAACTTGTTTGCCTAAGCTGCACTGGTTTTCGGAGATGAACAAGTGTTACAGCCACTAGTACTGCTAAACCTTTAAGTATTTAGTGTATTAGGAATTTATCTGACCCTTGTCACCCATTTATCTGACCCTTGTCATGAATATTATTGCTGTTAACAGATATCTCGATAATGTTTGTCTCTAACGCCTTAAAACGTTTCCATGCAATGTCCTGGCTCTTGTATTCTCTGCTATAAACCAAGACCTGGTAGTTTCATGTCATTCCTTGACTTAAAGAGCTGTGCAGTGTCTCGGACCTGGAAGGATTCTCGCCTTCCTTCTTTGTCAGCAGGCTTTGATCAAGTGCCCCCCACTGTACTGTACATACAGAAGCCCAGTGCACCAGGCTGCCTCCTACAGTAAGTCAGTTGCTGCTCAGCCCTTCCTCTGTGGGGGTCGAGGAGGGGGCAGCGCACTCCTCTTGCCCTCTGGTCAGGGGCGTGGCAGTGTCTTACCGTGTGCGGATGTGGAAGTTGTTGGTTGTTCCGGTGTGCTCGAAATCGTGGATGGCGGCGGCGAACAGCACAGCGAGCACCTCCAGCTCGCTGAGCCAGTGCTGCGGGGAAGACGAGAGAGAACACCGTCGGGGTGCCATTGTAAGGGACATTGCCGGATCAACCACCATAAACATGAAAAATGTGGGCTGTGGGCTTTTCTTTTCAATGGCAGATTGACTTAGAAGTGTTCAGTCACCTAGTGCCAAAACCCTTAATCCCAAAGGGAAAAGCTAAAGGGAGTATTTAACAGGAACGTTTTTTCACAGCTGACAACAGATTTGTTTTAAGAAGTTCAAAGGTATATTAGTGAGGAAGAGCAACATAGTGTGTCACCTGAAAACACCTGAAGTGTAAAACCAGACTGTTGAGATCACCATCACTGAAAAAACATTACGCCTACTGTAAATACATTTGGAAACAAAATGATTCTAGTGTAGTAAATTATCAATCTTGCCTAATTGCATATTTTTTACTGGTTTTGGGAAAGCAGCCCCTAGAAACATTTGAGGTCACTTTGGGCAGTCTGAGTCCTCTGTCTCTGGCTTACCAGAAGAGAACTGCAGCTAAAAAAATACAACTTTTCATCTCCTGTCTTTCTTGGTGTGCATAAGGCTCCTGCTGTATCGCTTCTTTCCTCTCTTGTACTTTAAATATTTCATTCCTACTCTTGACAGGAGCTCCCCATGGTTCACAACGCACAGACATGTGGAAGGAGTCCAATGTGGCAGGTTTGTTTCAGGCCTTTGATATCAGATTTGGCAAAGTATGACAGAAGGAGGTGCTGGCATAGTGTACTGCTTCTCAATAATTGTCTTTCAGTGGAAAAAGGAACTTTTGGCCTGTCCAGTAAGTTACGATCTTTTCCTGCTCTGAAAGGTGGAGCTTTACTTCCTGAAAATGAGTGGCAGTCCAGCTAGAGGCTTCTGACAGCCATTCACTAAGCTGTGAGTGTTAATTAGCGAATCTGTGCTAATGAGCGTGCAGGAGTTAAGGAGAGAGCAGTAGTCATTTGTCTGTTTCCATTAGGATTCCTGCACAAAACCGGCCTGGGAATACGTAATAGTAAAACAGGTCTTCAAGCCTCCCACTGCTCAAGAGAGATCTATACGGGGTTCTTGTTTCAAAAATGACTGTAAGTATTTCCTTATAAGGGCAGGGATATCTTCAGGAGAATGGAAGTGAGCGGGTCTGGAAACCATTACACATCTAACCGTTTATATAGACAAGAATTATTTTGCTAATTATTGTTTGTGGAGCTTCTGCCTCCCGTAGTGGTCCTAGATATATTCAGCAGCAAAAAAACAGACTCTGTATTTGGCTGAGAGTTCTTTTGTGAATGCACTAGTAAAAATGAATCAGTGTATGATCTCCTACTTGATGTCATACAGTGTTTTCGCGAGAGTCGATTAGACAACCAGGTATGAGGTATAGACCAACTGTCAAATTTCAACATTGACATGTATTTCAATAGGTACAGTACATTATGTAAGAGATTGCAATTGCTGTAAGAGTGTGAGCCGTAAATATTTTCATGAGAAACAAGGGTTTAAGGTTTTAAGGGAGAGCCTCCTTTTGCTGATGTAAAATACATTGTGAATAACCTGTACTAATGGGATTGGTTATTATTAATTATGTTGATTTGTTACCATTGTACCACATACCCGGGCACTTTATTGAAACAATCTGAGTGAAGTACCTTACTTAACACTACAACAGTACCACCACTCTTGTTATTTAAACCCATATGGCTCCAGAGCCCAGCCAGTATTCCACACTTAAGGCCTGACTGTCTCTATCCATCACCTTTCAGAATGGCTGAGTTACTGATCTTAATCCCACTTTGACTATTCAGAATGAGAGTTGATCTTGTACTGCTCTGGAGCAGAGATGGCCTGGGCAGAATTGGAGCCCGAAGCAGCACTGGCCGGACACAGAGAGCTAGGATGGAAAAGACCCCCACTGTCATACAACGACGTGACATTGTATCAACGACACTGACGGCATGCATGTATTTTCTTAAAATTGGAATTGCCAGTTACTTTTTAGCCTTACAATTAGACACCTGTCTGTGCCATTCATTATCTTTAAGTCCCAGTGAGCCTCACAGTTCCATGAGATTGGCCACCAGTAGGAGGAGCAATTTAGTGGCTGATGTAACCTCAAGCTTACACTGTCTCACCACTTCTCTGACCAGAGCTCCGTTCACGTTTGGCTAGTGGCGTGACCCAGACTCTTAACTGGCGATGTCTGGGAGTTATGGCTCAACATGAACTAAATGAGATCCTTAATTTTGTTTTTACTGCCTGGTGTTGACTTACAGAAGAGCCCGCCACTTTCAGTGCCTGAAAACTCAATGCTGTGTGCAGTGGGAATTGTATTGTTGTCTGCAGTCAGGGTGGAGCAGGGATTAAGATCGACAGATTACCACCAGGCCAGTGCGCAGCAGAAGGCAGTGTATGGTCTGCGTGACGTCAGCAGCATGGATCTGGCTGTGATAGGGGTTGCGGTGTTTATTGTAGCCTTTCTCCAGGGCTCCCAGGAAGGTCATCAGGAATGTGATTGGAATCTGCAATGTAAACAGCACAAGACAATTTCTTATTACCTTCCTCAGTGCCTAGAATCCCCATCATTCCCCTGCCTGTGTACAAACCAGGAGAGAGAGAGATTTTGTGACGCAAATGGCGGCATTTGGATAAGCAGGGTACCCTGAAACCTAAAATTAGTTGTCACAGTGTACTATTGCTAATAGTCCAGAGACACTGGGGGCTCCTAATGTGGCTTTTGAATCATAGAGCTCTTTTTTATACATTTTGTCACCTTAGGCTGTGAAGCTCAGTGTCCAGTTATAGTAAAAGCTGTATTGTAAATTTCCTTTCTTTTCCTCTTGGTGAATTTAGAAATCCTGGACAAAGCAGTTGAATGCTTTTAGGTCGATATCCTAAAGAAAATATTTTTATCTTCAAAACTTATGCAATGTATTTAATGATCTCACTGATCTTTTCTGTACAAGGGGCAGGAGAAGTGAATTTTATGCACCTTAAAGCGACTGATGAGCTCGTATCTGGTCAGCAGTTCAATGACCACGGTTTGCAACGCGTGCCCTCTGCTGGCTCTGTTCAGTGCCAGCACGTCGAAGTTCCATCTGTCGATGTTCTGAAAGAAATTGTAAACAGGTCACGGTGTGAGTTGGCTCACTTTAACAAAGGATAGGGTTTGTGTCATCTCCAGCTCAAACATGGATCAGACGTCTGCATGTCCACACCAGTGTGTTAGGACTAGTTTGGGGGTGGGGTTACTTTTGGGAAAATTCTAAAATATTTAGCAGTTTAAATTGAAATTTACTTGTTACTTAAATTGAAATTGATGCCCATGGAACCTGGCCTGCATGCAAACATTGACCACTGTGGGAACCACAAACAACTGTACATACCTTTCTTTCAAACTGTATCAATGCTAATTAGTCATACATTATTAGTAACCTAAAACCTTTTTTAAGCGGCTGATACTATGGGATCCCTGAACGCGGCAGATAAAGAAAACATTGAGGAATTTGATCAAACGTTTCCTTTAATGGTCTCAAGCCATGAAAAGAAAAGTGATGTGCATATGTTGTAACATGTGCGGCTGTTTGGAAATGAAGCTCGAGTAGCTCTTTTGCTGACCTGCTTGTAGGAGCTTTACCTTGCCTGAGACTGGCCCGTAAAGCGCCTGTTCTGATCTAGGCAGCTGAAACCATCCCACAGGCTATGGACAGACCTAGAGCCGTCTGCAAGCACGACTTCTCAGTCCCTGCCTGTGTAGAGCACGAGATGATAAAGTGTTTCCTTACCCGGAGGTTCTGAATGACGGCCGATGGCTGGTTAGGAATGGCAGCGGTGTAGGCTTTCCTAAACATCCTGAAATACAGCAGCATGAAAAGTTCCTTATCGTATTGATTTACAAGGTGTACACTGTATAACTGATATGCGTTGTTGTTGTTTTCCCGAAAAAAACAAATAGTACGGATAGAAAGTACTATACTGTAGGACTCCCATTCCACAGCAGTTTGATCCTTTTGAAGTTTTATATGCTGCAGATTCTCTTTCGGTTAATTATTGATGATGCAGAAAAGCAAATACTTTTCAGAAAGCTGTACGTAAACTGTTCAGAACTGTTTAAGAGACAAGGACAAATGTAAAATACTCAGCATCAGGTGTTGGTTTTCACACAAGAGCATGCAGTTAGATGGTAAAACCTTGGAAAGGCAGTGGGAATCACTGTGCTCACCTCTCGACAAAGATGCCAGCCTGCACCGCGTGAACGATGCTGCGAAATTTTGGTTTCTCATCTGACCGCCGACCTGGAGGGCGAGCCTTCTGGGTAAAGGTCGAGGCCAGCCAATCCCGGACCTCGGTCGGGACCGCCTCCGAGCGGATCTGCGGGAGGTCATCTTCTGTGTCCAGCATCTGCCTGAGGGGAACAGCGGGGAAAAAGGACAAAAATGGGCTTACAGAGGCCTAATCCTTGATCTCACCAAGCCAGGTGTTCACGAGGGGAACTATTTTCCCATTTACAGTAGTGATCTGGAGACCTGTTTACACAACAGTGGAGTTTTGCAAGAGTAGTCTGCGCAAAGTACTTTGCACAAGAACTGCAGTGTCTCACCTGTGGTTTCACCTCATGCCCACCTGGTCCAGAGGCCTAATCGCTTCTCCATTTTGCTGCCTATAAGTGAGCTATAGTGCATTGACAGGAAGTGCTTTGAATTACTCAGACTGCTCAGGGCTGTCACGTTTCCAAAAAGCGGCTGGCTTTCTCATAACTATTGTCAAGGCTATTGTTTTTGTACAGGTTCTGCATAATTTAGCCTGCCCCCATTCATATGGCGCCCTTAAAGGTTATACATCTGGATGCAGCAGTATGTGCATACAGACGAACGTGCTGCAATGAAATCCGAGCCCGTTCTCGTTTTTGGTGAAGGGAATTTTTACGATCATTTTGGACAGTCCAGGGTGCATGGTGTTTTGCAAAGAAACAGGGATATGCAGGCTTAGCTTTTCCTACTTGTTTGGTTTTTATGATTGCTTGTTTTGATAACAAGGCCGTGTGTGTGTGTGTGTGTGTGTGTGTGTGTGTGTGTGTGTGAGAGACAGGTGGCTTGTGGCAGTTGTTGGGTAAGCCGTTATCGTGAAACCCTGTGGTATTATAGACACTTGTGGTGATAATGTGCTGGATTTTAAACAAGCATGTGAAACCAATGGGGTATGGCTTAGGTATTCGGCCATTTCGTACCATTCACGATTTCCCTCAGTGATTTTCTGCATTAACTTTACTATTTCTTTAAATTCTTTCACTTACATAGAGCTGGGAGTGAGATGTGGGAGTGGTTGTTGATAGCAGGGACTCGGTCTGTCCTCTTGTCAAAACGGTGGAGCACAGAGGCGGAGTGACCACTACGCACCATGTGGAGGGAGTCCGTTGAAACAGCTGGTTATATATCTGGGTGCAACAGTATGTTGCGCAGACAGACCTGCTTCACTTCGATCTGAGCCTGTTTTTGTTTTTGGTTAGGGGAGGTTTTCCGATTGTTTTTGACAAGGCAGAGGTTGTGTGGTGTTTAGCAAAGAGACGGGGGTATGCAGGCTTACATTTGGTTGTATTGCATTTGGGAACCAGCCCTTTAATACCTCAGCCTCGTAGTGAACAGACGTAGACGTGAGCAGCATCAGCATGTACTGTAAAAATAGTGGGAGATATGTGGAAAAAAAGATCAGTACCTTGTCTCATCGATGTACACTGCCTCCAGGAGGGATGCGGTGTAATCTAGGTTCTTCTTCAGAGCTTCAAAGTCCACATCCTTTTCGTCCAGCTGTTTCACCATGGAGCGTAACCTGTGTGTGCACACACAAACAGTTCAGCTTTTATCTGTGCTGTAGAATAGTTGCTGATGAACAGTCAGCTTCATTACATAAAACATTAGCCTGTTCGTAGATACGGTATGTGATGATATAAGGCCTTTCCTACCAGAACCAACACAAAAACACTTGGGGAAGCAAATAGAAAAAAAATGATCTGATTGTCGTCTTTGAAAATGAACAGGTGTATTGATCAAAAATCTGTTGAATGCTTTCTACCAAAGTTTACTAGGGTGCTCCACGTGGTTTTCGGCAAGACTTCGCAGTGGCTGATCCAAGTATTCTGTCTTGGGGAATGTTTGCAAGCCCACTGCAGGTTTTGTTAGGCAGGTTTATCATTCAGCTCATGTGAACCACCACATGATATGGGTGGTGTGGGATAATGACTGTTGACGCTGAATGGTTTTTCTGTGATGTGACTGCTTTCCGGGAAAGCAGACAGTTAAAAAGAATGTTTTGGAAATGGGCTTGAAGCAATTTGCTGCTCTGTGAATATCAAGAATGGAGTTTTTGCAGTCTGGGCCTTGGTAATTGGCGAAGCGATGATATGGAAGTGATTTAATACTAAATACCATGCTCTGTGGGGAATGTGGTGGCAGCAACAATTCATTAGAATTCAATTTTCCATGACAGAAGAAAGCTTACTGTCCTCACGCTGCACACAAAGCCACTCCAATGGGATTTTGTGTTCAAGACCTCCGGACCGGATCAGATAAATGTAACAATTTGAGAGCAAGCTAAATGTTCTACAGATAGAAAAAATCCATAAGACAAGAATTGATTCTTTGAATGATCTGATTTAGGACACAATTGTAGTATCCCTTTTGTACTGTTTGGAAACAAATACTGAATTGAATAATTTATAAGGGGTATTATTAGCACAGTTCCTTATAGCAATTAGCTCCCTTTGTCACAACTCCTCATCTTCCATAATTAAAATGAAATTTCATAATATAATACATTTAAATTGCTTAGAAAATAATTATGTCAAAGCTTGTTGTACTCCCCCCCTCCCCATTTCACAGGAAATGTGATTTTTAGTAGCTCTCTGGTTGACCTGTGGCTTTTGTTGAAGGCTGACATTAGCACTCAGGAAACCATCTTACAGCCACAGATGTACAGCTGACTGGTGCACAAGACTATCACAGACAGGGTCCAGGGTGCTACGTGATGTGACAGCAGAATTTAAATTGGGGAATGTTATGTTAAAATTGTTCAGAATGCTGTTAACTTTTGGTCACCTCATTGCACAAGGAATATTGCTCTTCGGGAACCAGTTCTAAGGTGACCAGATTGTTTCCCGAGCTCAAAAGAATGTCCCATCATCTACGAGAAGACCTGACCGAAGTATTCCAAATCCTCAAAATTTTTGGCCTTGACAGAGTCCATTCCACGGTTTTCTGCAGAATCACCAGTGAAACACGGACTAGCGGATTCAAATAGAGACTAAGCACATTTTTAACTAGCTTTATAAAAGGAGGATAATGGGTGTCTGGAATAAGACATTCAGCTAAGCTTTCCAAGCCGACATCCTGGCTTCTTTAAGAGATTTAGATGTACGGGCATGTTTTCACACGTGCTTGGGAGAGAATGAGACAAAACACATCGATTGATTTGTCCTTGGACGTGTTGCAGTCTCCATAACGTTCCATAACTCCTGGCAGGAAAACTGGTGACGTTCCATCACACTGATGGGCTCCCAGCAAATCACAGGTGAGCAGACTAAAAATCACCCGCTGACTCACTAATCCTGACTATCCCCAGGCACTGGCCATCATGTACTGCCAGTTAGGGAATCCTGGTCACATGACTCAGCCTCAAACGTGGTCATAGAGCTCAGGCTGTGCCCCCTCTGTAAGTGCCTTTACTTTTTGAACCACTTGTCCCCTTCAGATTTTGAGAAAAAAAGAAATAGTAAATTTTTGAGAAAAAAAGAAAAGTAATCACAGCAGATGGCAAATGGAAACTTTTTTTTAATGAATGTTTCTTAAACACTAAGGCAAAGTCACTGCTGCCTGTGGGTGTGTAGGGCTGAGTGGTTAGTTTGTAGGTGTGAAACTGCTTTGTCTGTCTTAAATTCTAATGTTCCATTGACTTAGAAAGGAACTGAAAAGAAAGAAATGCAACGCAGCCTTGTGGGTCGTCGGATAACAACTGCTGCTTGTGGCTGTGCTGCCAGAGGCAGAGAGGGCAAAGGCATGCCCTCCAGTTTGCGCTCTGTAACAGGCATGAATCTACGGCTGCATTTTCCCGTTCAGTATTTCATTTGGCAAGTGGCACAAAATGCCCAAGGCGTCTGGTCTGAAACTGAAGATAGCTGTTGGATCCAAGATTTCACACGCGCACAAACAATGTCACTTGAAAGCGTATTGCATATACTGACGCGCAGCATTACATGAGCAGCAAAAACTGTTACTGGAAAGTTTGGCAATGGCTTTTAAAGATGGATAGCCTGGGAGAAGTGATGCATCTTTACAAGACATACTGTATGTCTTTAAACAACTAGCAGGCAGTGTGACACTTAATAGCAAAGATGTGGCCAGCCTGCTGGGAGATTTAGTATATAGTGTGGTGAGAGATGGTAGATCGCAACTTATGATGCGACCTGCTACCTTCAAAGCTTTCTGAGGACAAAGTGACATTCATCACATTTTGACACACTTTCAACCACACTGTAACAGAAAACCTTGACGTTGACACACTTTCTTTGTCACAATTGTCACGATAGTGGTCAAAATAACAAAAAGAACGTGGAACTCATACCATGCAGAAAATGTACATAAAGCTTAAAACTGATACGGATACAAATTATTTTTAATCTTTGTTATCCATTTTTGAATGATTGACATCTTTCCTAGGCCAGCTAGACCCAGAAACACAGACGTCACTTTATAGCTAAAAGCTGGTGTAAGGCAGGCTTTTGTCCCCTATTCACATTCTTAAGTGGATTACTCTTAGTGCTTGGCTTTGTTATTTTCACAGGCGAGAAATACATTTATAGCCTAAGTTAGGTTAATATAGTTTTTTCTTCTTTGACCTTGATATGGTTTTCTATTACAGATGTATCATATTTTGATATATACAGTACAGCTCATCAGTGTTCCATTGCATGTATTCCAGGAACTTACTAGTTGGTTGCCTCAAACAATACACTGTTCTTGGAAAGCTGAAGAGGTCTTTCCTTTAGATATGGCTAAAGATGTTAACATGCTGATACACAGTACCATCCTAAACAAACTGACAAACTCTTAGCTATTATGCAGGTGTTTACTTTTTGTATGAATAAATATTTTTATCATATGTTTTCTCCCATGCAATTAGTTCTTTTAATTTTTTGCACATACAGTAGTAAATTGAATATTCAGTATATTTTAGTCTCCTGTCTGTGACTACTTTGAAACTGTTGCAGACCCCTTTAAGAGGAAACAACAGAACCCCACCGGTAAATCCTTTTAGGTTATAGACACTGAATTACAAACTCCTGCAAGGAGGTGGACTGTTAGTAAATTATTGTAGGAGTTAAGAACAAGTTAACTAGTTGCTCTGGATTCTTTCAAGAAATGGCTGGATGAGATCAATAGCAATTAAAAACAAGTTAGATGTCATTTTGTTAAGTAATGTCCATGTTCTTGTAAAAGCCCCCAGAATGAGGGACTGGAGGTGGCTTCAATCTGGGAGCGTTCCCTAGAATATAAACCCTTCCTCTCTCTAGCGCTGTCACTGCTCTATTTTTCTTTTGTGCCTATAGAAGATGCTTCTTGGTAAGTTGTAAGTTTTTATTTTTTTTGGAAACAGATTAATATACAATAACACAATGGAAGGCAATTCAGTATTGGGATGATCTAAAATACAAGAGATGGTGTCACAGATAAATGTGTCACTCAAAGACCCATACAGTACCTAGCACACTGTTTTATTGGTGTATAATCAGATGTGCTGACCACTGTCCAAATGTTGGTTCCCTAGCATTAAAGTACCTGTGTATTACAGCAGCCTGGATAAAGCACCTTGCACACCTGCTATAAAGAAGAGACACATTGTGGAATTGTTGTCCCCAGTGAAATTTATATCAAAAAAGGACACCTTGCAACTTTCACAAAACAACTGAAAACACTGTGAGGGAAGCTGACCTTCATATCATACAGTGCAAATTTCCAGGAAACTAGCTACATAGAAGTCCTCTTTCACTTTTTTAACTGCCATGCGAGCACTGAAGTTCAGCCAGATGGCAGACAACCTCAGTAGGAAGTTAGCTAAGTCTGGAGTTTTGACGCTTGGAGTTCGCAAAAGAACTTGGAAAGTTAAGCTGGTGAACCACTCCTCCAAAGTTTTGGTTACTACAAGAGCTTCAGCAAGAGAAGAGAACAGGCATGACATTCTGCCTAAAAAGCAAAACCCTCTACCTCAAGGCAGAGAGAGCGCGCCCCGCTCCTCGGCTTACCTGCAGATCGGAGCCTGAAGGTGTTTCTTGCGAACTTTCACAAGCTCAGCCATCAGGGCTGGGACTGGAGGAAGAGCTGCTGTGCCTGTGGTGCCCTCGAGCGAGAGAGTCAGTAAGACGGAGGCGCGCGAGAGTGGGAGAAAAGTGCTGTCAGGATATGACAAAAGTTGCACAGTCCTGAGACACCGCAGAGCGAACGCAGAGTGGTCGCCCCCCCCCCCCTCAGGGCCCCTGCCCTGCCCTGCCCTGCTGTGATTGGCCGGATGCATGTTTGTTGTGCTGATGCGAGCGTGGGAGGTGGAGGTTGGGCAGGGGGCCAGTCATGCTGTTGGGATTTTTTTTTTGTTAGTATGGGTTTTATTTATTTATTTTTGCAAGTAATCTCAAAAGCGGAGATGCACCAGGTTTTCCATTGCACAAGCGAGCAAGCGGGAGGGAGCGGGTTTTTTCAACGCAATAGAAAACCCACATCATCCTCACCGCTCTGAAGTAACCTTGTCCCTCTGGGTTAATGTCATGAAAGTGCTGAGGGAAGTTAAAAGGAATTAAAATGATTCAGTATACAGAGTAGGTGACTCAGTTATGTCTTTAAAATCCTACATTGTAAGTAAAGCAGTGCATGTGTGTATATGCTGTACAGTATATATACACAAAGTTCAGGATTAAGTCAGAAAGATACTGAAATAATGTGCATCCTGTGAAGTTTTGACATTCTAGAAGTTTGCATTTTAATTCCAATTAAAATGTTCTAAGTTCTTATTTGACAATTATTGAATGCTATCTAATATAATACAACTCTTGGGAGATTTAGTAGAAATGGCCAAATGGTCAAAGCAACCTAACACAGGAAGCTACCTAATTCTTCTGAAAGGCAGAATGGGCAGCACTGCTGCTTTTAATTTGTTGACGGAGAATTTGTTTTTACTAAAGGAGTAGATATTTTTCACCCACCTAGTCCTAGTCTATACTGACCCTGCAACACGGAAAGATATTGTACTAAACATGTAAACATTGTAAATACTTAAGTCTTAATCCTGTATCTGAAGAATGTTGACCTTTTTCTTTGCAATTCAAGTGATCTGATATTTTTTTCCTGTGGTTGTCAATTGCTTGAGCACGTGGTCGTTCCCAGTGTGACAATCCATCATGCTCTTAGAAAGCACCATGTCTCGCTGGGTGTTGGGATGCTGTATTCAATGCGTTTAATTTTTTTTTTCAATTACAGTATATTTTACAGTTTAGGTCTGAATTTGCATCTGTAGGTAACTAAATTAAAGGACCAGAGCAAACTCAATAAAAGTATATGTGTATTTTAAAACAATTCTATTAATGAAATAAGTATTCCGGTGCCTGGCTTAGAGAGGGATAACATTTCAAAGTGTTGCTGTTTCAGCAGCTTTTTATCCTTTCTCAAGACTTCTAAATGAACATACAGGTATTTCCCTGTAGTTACTTCCCTGATTGAACATCAAGATAATTGATCTGTCAGTGTCATGACAACAGATGATGTCATTTCCTTATCAGAGACGCAGATCAGTAACGCATATTAGGTGGTTATGTTCCCAAGGAGTTTCAAAAAGCATGGTTACTGATTCTTTATGAAAAAAAGTGTAAAACTTATAACAAATAGGACTTAACATCCACATGTGGTTAAATCACAAATGGTAGATTAAGTGAACCAATTAATTGGATATTTTCAAAGAAATATACCTAGTTTGTCAGAATGATCAAACCTGGCAGAATTTATTTCATGGTTCTCTGCATTTGCATGTTCAGTTCTGAATATTTGAATGTATCATGGTTGGCAGTGCTAGTTCTAAAGCTAGTCTTCGTCTTATTTCAGTGTTTTGTTGTTACTCCTGTTTCTCAGCCTTTATGATTTTGGCTTCTGGGTCAAGTTGACTAAAGTTCCCATGTTCCCAGTTCCTGACTGCTATTAGATTAAGAGTTTATGACATTATTTAGATTGGAATAGCCTAACTTAAATGACTCCTTAATAGCTGATGAGAGAAGTTCCATATGGGGTTATTTATAAAAGCGTGCATGCTGCGAAATTAGCAGCTTATCCACTGACATCCAGTTGCAGTCTGATTATCCTTGTGCAATTTTAAGTCTGATTTATCATTGGGAAAACTGCACTTCTGTGAGCTTCAGTCAGACTGTTTTTTATGACACTTTATTAAAGAAATCCTTTGCTGCCTTCTTTCTTTTAGGGAGTTTGTGAAAAGTCTTACAATTTGTCTCAGCCCCTTGTAGTCAGACCTTCAGTAGAATTGCAGCTGACAGTGTAGCTGAAACGGTAGGTGTGTTGTAGTGCGGGAGTATTACAGTATTGTAGCTGTCTGAATTTCCTTCAGCCTGATTTTGTCAAAAAGGAGCAACAGCATAAAATAATGTCCCAATCCCTTTATTCTTTGTGTTCTGTTCTACCTGCTGGCTACTGTGGGGTAGAGGCTGCACAACAGTGATAGCATGTTAAGCATACAAGGGGCTATTGCTGTTAGGTTTTTAAGTACCTGAGTTCAGAACCACATGAGCCTTTCACAGGAAGAAACGGAAATGTCTGCATTAATTACGCCTTTTCTATGGTTCTCATGCCGAGACCAGAAATTAAAGGTTTTCTCTGCCTGTAATATACTGTACAGTATGGCTCATTCAGTTAGTAAAACAGATAGTGCAAAATCTTTTGATCTTTTTTGTTTCGGCTTCTGGTTTTCACAGGGGGTTGCGCTCTCCAGCACGGCCCGGACCTCGCCGCGTAAAAAGACGGCAGCAAGGGGCGCAGTGGCCGCGTCTCCATGGAGCGGAGAGCGTAATGGCTCACTCCAGAAACCCCAGGGCCTGCAGCCCCGAGCCAGGCAGGTACGTCACCAGGACTGCAGGGACTCTGACAGCCGCAGCGAAAGAAAGCCCACCAGAGACCACCAGTGCATCCTGCTCAGTGCCAGACCGGGCTCTGAGCGCTCTTCAGAAACAGTCTACCAACCAAGTCCGCTGATACCACAGTCTCTGCAGCATGCGCGCACGTGCTGTGCCTAATTACAGGTGCATGTACAGTAGTATTGCATTCATTTAGGTTAATTCCTAAGCATGCACTGCTGCCTACGGTGCACCCCTTTCTTAATGGGGTCTTTTTTGATTAGGCCAATTAAAGAGGTTGTTAAGAGGTACCTACAGTAACTGCCTTTACTGCCAACCTGCCTTCCGCCTTCCAGCATGCGCTACTGCTGTTACCTGCGTAAGTTACCAAAGGCTAAAGGAGCTTATTTGCACAGTTCCCGTGTATTATTTTTTATGGGGTTTCATTAAGTATGTAGTTTTTATTTGCTAGATGATTACATACTGTATAGTGAAGTTCTTAACTTGCATCTGCAAGTTCTGTATTGTATAACAGAAAAATTTTAAAGATTAAATCTTTTAAATCTCGGTCAGAACAGCAACCACGCGTCAGTAACAGTTCACAACCCCTGTATCTCGGGAGTCTTTTTTCCTTTACCCAGTGTACAGTACTTCCAGGGCTGGGTTTGTATCTTGCAGTCCGTGGTCGAGTTGAAACATTCGTCTAAGCATGATTGTGACAGCAGTGTGTCCTTCAGAACGCGAGTGTTTTAATTCAGTAAGAGAGAGTGTTTTTCCTGTTTGTGGAAGTGATGTTTTAATTAAGGATATCACAATTAATCCTTTGTTAATGAATCCTCTTAATACTTTTATGCATTGAACAACAAAGCCTACGTGCCGAATGTGTGTGACATGTTGTATCACCAAACTGATTTACAAACTAAATTGGATTTCGGGTAAAGAGGATTTTCCCATAAATTTAAAAACAAAGAGCAAGTGTGTCTTAAAGTATTACTTTATTTTCTCATAAATCAGTGTTGGTAAGCATAATCTGCAGTATGTCAATGTAATCTATAGAAATGAAAAGTGTACTGAGTGTGTTGGGAGATTTCTGTTACATCCTTAATACTACAGGTTCTTGAGAAAGCAAGGGAAAGCCTCAGGCTACCCATTAAAAGGTAATAAAGCTCTCCATTCCCTGTATGATCCACATATGAATGTAATTATGTAACAACCTTTGAACTTAGCTTTGAATGTTAAATTGTCTGTTTTGCTTTGTAGAAAGTGGAGCACTAACCTTATGTTATTAAAAGTTGTTAGTTAACATTTACTGTATGTTGCTTATGATAGAGTCTGGGCCCTACTCTTCAGATAGAGGGTGACCTGTAGAACAGGCTGGGGCTCCGAGTTTGGTGACCCCTGTGTTATGTATGCTTGTGTAGAAGTGTAACATTGAATCAAATGCTTTAGAGCAATACATTGGAGCAAATTCATTTTGAAAAATAATTGTATTTGCCAATTGACAAAATTGTGTATTTTTGTATCGACAGTATATGTCTTGATGAGCTACGGGGTGGGTGTTCTGATGCTGTGGTTTTGAGATAGAAATTGAGCACCTAGGATACAGAAGGATTTGCTCTGTGTGAAAGTGGCATTCAGTAATCCAAAAAAAGAAAATAATCATTCAGCATTTAACGTTTTTTTTTAGCATTTAACATGCTGTGACATTTAGATTTTGCAGAGGGCTCTTCCTTGCCTCCCTCCTGTCAGCAGCTGTGAGAGTTTCATGCCCTGTGATCCCTGGAAAAAGAGCCTAAGTCTGGCAGCTGACCTAAGTGCTGTTTTCCCCTCTGATTTATTTGCTTTTTTGGCAATTTTAGCCTGTGCTCCAGTAAGGTCTACAGCCGGAGACACTCTGTTTTTCCATCCTTAAGCTGTACCCTTGGCCTAGCTGTCTTTTCTGACTGGAGCGACGTTTTTAAAATTGGAAGGCGGGAGGGCACAGACCTGCCCTGTTCACTGTGGTGTGGAGAGAAAATCCTGGGAGTCTGAGTAAAGACATGCGTGAGTTTACTCAGACCACTGCTAGGTCCAGGCTGGAGTAATGCAATTACATTGCTGTCCAGTGAGCAACACACCAAGCTCAGTTTATTTTATAGTTTAAAACATTAGCGTAGGTAGAGTAAAATATGTTTTACTGATTGTATTTATAGAGTGCCTTTCATTCCAAAGAATCCTAAAATGCATTACAGTATGTGTAGGATGTGGGGATATTAATCTACCACTTAAGGGCAGAACATTCACATCACTGTAAATCAGGTGGAGAAGATGTTTCCCCAGCTGAAGGTTTCTTGTCTTTCTAAGCATTAAAAACGGAATATTCTGTAGAGCTATACATACGTGAATGTCGTTAGAAATGTGTGATTTCAAACAATCCCGGAAAGCTTGTTTCCATAAAGTAAATGCGTGGACTGACGGGATGTTGGGCTAACTGGCTGTGTATTACAAAGTCAGGGTAAAACTTTGAGGTGAATGTAGTTTGTTTTAATATGAACAGTAAGTCAGAAACCACCTTCAAATAATGAAGTTAAAGCAGGTAGGTGAGCACAGTACACGCTGATTTACTAATAGGGAAAGAAGTGTCCTAGTGAAAGATAATGACTGCCTTTTCCCCCAAAAACTCTGCAGGTTCTCTCTGAACTCTTTGCACAGAGGTGCCCAGCTGCAGCCCTGGAGACTTTCTAGGTTGGTTTGCATCGACAGCACCTGAAGAACTGGGAATTGCTGTTAAATTAGTCCGGTGAAATGAGCTGATCTAGGTTGTTAAGAGCTGAGCATAGCAACCCGAGAGTCTTGCTACTGTATAAAGTGTGTACATTTATAAAACACGGAGACCGCGTCTGGTGTGTACTTACACAGTAAAAGTCGTCTTCCATGTGCTCAGGCTGATGGCTGGGTTCAGGAACCGGTGGCAGGCACACTTCAGCTCTTTTGTGTATGGAGTTGGCGAGGTCATCTTTTCTTCCTTTGCATTGGTTTGTCCTGGTGTAGCCCGTAGTTCTGTGCTTGCTGTGATCTGCCCGTAGCTTGTATCTTGATCACCCAAGCTCCTAGAAATGCTAGGGATTCACCCTAAAATTAAGTCATACATTTCCTGTTCATTATTAAGCTGTAAATTACCTTGAAGAAAGATGCACTGTGGAGTATAATTGGAACATTACTTCTAATGTTACAGTAGTAGTTTTTTGCCAATGGATCAAAAACATTTAATTTTTAAGCCACTTTTCTATGTGGTCACTAACTTTATAAAATAAGTGAACTCAGATGCATCCGTTTTTTTGTTCTTGTTTAACCTTCATGCTCAAATGTCCTTTTTTAAGAGAGAAGTAGGTTCTTTGTATATATAGTCAATGCTGGCTCTTTCCTGCTGTTAATTCTGCACAGTGGTCTTTAAGATGTTCCTCTGCGAAGATGGCCTTAAATGAGTGTGTCTATATACACTGTGGCAAGCACAGCTTGCGTCTGTGCCACCCTCTCTCTCTTGATTCTTCGTCCTCTGGGAGGCTGTGATGTTACAGGCTGTGGCTGAGATCACCTGTGTGCTTAGATGTGCCTGGCTAGTTGGGAACCATGCTTTGTACACTACCACACCTGGAAACTGCAAAAATCCAGTTGTTTTTCAGAAATAGTTTTGAATGGGATTTCAAGTTTGCTATTCTCAGGCTCTCTCTTTTTAAGGGCAGTGGTCCATTTTGGTTTACATCGCTAGCTTATTGAAATGGAACTGGTCTTGTCATTCCTCCTTGATTCAAACCTTATTTCCAGAAAAATGAAAACTGCATCTTATTTCCATTGCTTTAATTTGCTTTCTTATTCCGTTTCATTTTCCCTTTGGATGCATGAAGGTTAGGAAGAGGTAACCCCTTCTATTACTTTTCTACATGCGTCAAACTGGGCCCCTGAGCAAGACCCTTAACCCCAACTGCTCCAGGAGCGCCGTATAAATGGCTGACCCTGCTCCTCTGACCCCAAGCTTCTCTCTCCCTGTCTGTGTGTCTCATGGAGAGCAAGTTGGGGTCTGCGAAAAGACAAATTCCTAATACAAGAAATTGTATATGGCCAATAAAGTGATATATTTATCTAACTGCGTATGCTTAGTAAAATGTAGTGTTGAGTACAATAAGTTTTTCACCTTGTGAAAAGTCTTAAAGTAAAGACTCTCAAACTCTTAAGACTAAGTGATGTCTGTCTTAGTTGCCATATTCCTCACAACCAGTCTGTGTGAATCAACGGACCAGAAAAATATGCTGCCTTTGCTTTGCTTTAACCACGGTGTTGTTCCGAGCTGGGGAAGGAGCAGACTAAATTCCCACACGGGCCTCATCCCTTCTGCGTCACTGTGCCACCTCATCTCCCAGGGGGAGTCTTTGCTGCTAATTTAATCCTCACCAAAAGAGATTCGGGCAGCCAGCTTCCTCCTGCTGTAGAGCTCATTAGAGTCAAGCCCCTAACGAGCGCACGCCAGCACTCTTGGCACCTAACCCCTAAGAAAGAGAGTGTTGATTGCTAAAATCCAAAGTGTTTGCCCCCGGTATGGCAGTCTTAGCGAGAGACTGGAGAAGAGGTTACAGGCTACTTGAACACTGTGAATTTACAGATGCGATTTCAGGAACTTGTGAAGGTCCCTGTACATCCGTAAGAGTCACAATCTTCCTTGTCCATGCATTTACTTTTTTTTGTTGTTGATTTATTTGGCAAGTACAGTATTTTTATCCAAATAAGCCTGCATAAAGCAATCAGAGTACAAGAATCTACAACCAAATAAATAACATGCATGCAAGCTAACACAACACGTCAAGTGATGCAACAAAGCTAATGTTACAACATAACATTGAAATAAGTACTAGAACAATGCAATGTAGAGAGTGAACAAATAAACATCCAGGTAATCTGATTAAGTCAGTAAAAAAGGTGGGTAGATTTTAAGTAGATTACACTTAATTATTTAGGAATTAATTATTCTTGTTTTTTCAGCTCAGGCAATAATTAAAATTAATTGATAAAATATACATATAAATAATAAATTTCATTCAGCAAAAACAAACAAATTACAAAGTAATTAAATCACAATATCTGGTTTATTGACAAACATAGTTATAAATCCCTTAGGTGCAAATGTTTGATTTAACATGAGAAAAGAATAAATGTGCAGTGGTCAGTATTGGAAGTTAGGTAGAAAAGTCTTCAAATATGAAAGAATTTGCTCTTACAGTAGTTCCAGTAGCTGGGTATTTTAACATTTCATAAAGGGGGCATTTAGTTTTTTCTTCAGATAGTTTGTGTTTACAGTATATAAACTTATTTAACTGTTAAAAAAATGACAAGCTCTCTCTGTATAAGTTTAAAAAAAATTATGGATGGGGATCCGGGTTCATAGTGCTTAGAAAATGTTTTAACAAAAGCAACTTTTACAAAATTAGTAAACTGTGGATTAATACATACATTTTGTTTTTTATTGTACAAGTTCTTTCAAAGTAATGCCTCTTGTCTTTCACAATGTTTCATAATAAAATGTGTGGCTTGAGATACAGAAATATCAACATAAATTTCAAGTTGTTGCATAAAGACAAAGAGTCTCATGCTGTGTTGTTACATTTTTTCATCTGGCTACTTTGAAGTAGCAGTGCAGTGGGGATCATGCAAGACATTTTAAAGTGGGTTAAAAAAGTATATAAAATGTGTAGAGAAACTCTTGCTATGCACATAGCTAGGTTCCTGACAGTTTGGTTTGAGAGTGCAGGCATGTCTAGTGGAGGTCAGGCTTCTGTCCTAAGTGTGGTCTGGGGCTGGTGTGGTCCTTTTCAAGCTCTAAAAGAAACAACTCTAACAAATGTCATTGCAAGTGTTTGTACCAGTTCACTCTTAATGTTTTTCGCTTTTTCAGCAGTAGGGTCAATCAAGAAATGAAGGCTTTGCTATCTCGTTCAGACAATGCATCTGTTCTGCTGAAGTGCGTTGCATAAAGGAGCTGTAAAACAAAGGCTGAGCTAATAAGGTTCTGGTGTCAGTCGGTGTCCTGTGTTTAGAACAGTAGGCCCAAGGCTGCCTCAGCCGTGCTCGAGGTGACTGTGTCTCGCTTGTACTCATCCCACTGTGATCACAAAGGATTTGTAGACCTCTCTGTAGGCGTTGCGCAGAAGCACGTAAGGGAAACAGCTCTCCAGCATGTCTTGGGTTAAAAAGGGCGATTCCTCGACAATCTGAAAATCACACAGAATTTGAATTCAGTTGAGTTCTGTTCGATATGTGTTTGTATTTTAGTGACTTCTTTTGGAAAAAAAAACACAGAAGGGGTTTCCTTCTGTATATTTTCCTTTTGTGAGTTACATGTAAATAATGCATTAATTTCAAGCAGGATTGCTGTCTAGTTGCTGAGAATTCCTCAAAAATTTTTTCCTGATACAAGTACCACGTATACCATGTGCAGGTTACTGTACATGTTAGTTTACTTTCTTGTACTGTAGCAGGATGAAGTCACCTGCTGGGTGAATGATAACTGTATACAGTAAGTTATTACTATCCTGGCAAAGCTGAATTTTTAAAGTTTTAAAAATGAAACGTTGACTTTGTGATTTTGAAGTGCCAGACTTTTGCACAACTTTTGTTCTGTGAAGGCCACACTGGCAGAGACACTGGCATTAAAAATAAGACTGGGCTTTCTCTCACCAAGTGCAGCAGGAGGTAGATGGAATCCCTGTTTTTGCTCTCAGTCCTCTCCACATTCTGCCCCAGCTGTAGCAGAGTGGATGATGCCACCTGAAGAGGAATTTGGTTTGGCCGTTAAGCAGATGAAGTACTGGGAGGCGTGCCAGTCGCCATGCTCACATGAGAAAGCACCATTTGACCTCTCCAAGGTTTGACAAATATTCTTATTCATGAATAGACTTCTTTCATAGATTGAAAGTGAACACACCTTTGAAACTACCCTTAAATTAACTAATAGGGGTCAGAGTCAGAGACCCATTGGTGTGTTCTTAGAAAAAAATGTATTAATTTCTGTGTTTGTTTCATCTACTGCAAAGCCCTAACACACTGCTTCCTGCGGCACACCTGCATGAAGAGACCTTGACCCTACACCATATCTGATAAGGCAATCCATGAAGAAGTGCAAGTCTGTCTATGCAATTAGTTATGAATGTTAGCTATTGACCAGAGCAGGACGCATAGCGCTTGACTGTGATCTGTACTTCTCAAGCACAGCCTTTACCAGATTCAACCCTATAACAATGTGATGCATACAGACTGGCATTCCCATGTTAGTTCTGAGAATGAGAAACTGTCCAAACCCTCTGAAATACAGACAGTCATAACAGTTATCCACGCACTAGCATTGTAATTTATTATTTAGTGACGTCTGTACCCTGTTTGTTTTAGCTGAGAATTATTAATTGCTCTAATATCTTAAACGGAGCAAACGAGGTTTGTGCTTTAATTTGCTGCACATGAATCTGGATATTCTAATGTAAACAGACGTCCCTCCTCCCCACCTTTGGCTTTAAGCAGTGTAAATAGCCTTGTACAGGCAAAAAGACGAGCTGGTCTCACAAGCAGAACCTTTCTGGCTATATTAAGAAACAGAATTTCATAGTAATCAATTTTAATCTGACTTCACAGTACAGTATATCAACTAGAAAAGAGAAATCCCTATTTATAGCTAAATTGCTGGTCTTGCTATTTAAGCTTTGAATATGAACCTTTGTTTTTAAGACCATCCTTAAGAGCATACTGTAGGAATTCTTTTGAAGAGCTGCGGTTTATAAACACATTATTTTCACCAAAAACAGCAGTAAATAAAACACGATTGCAGCCAAATGATTTCTAGAAATATTTTCAAACAAATATTTTTTACGGTGATTTGTATTTTCTCTATGAAGAAAACTGATCTTTAGTACCCAAAACTGGCATTTTGTTGTTGCCAAAAAAGATTAAAAATAAAACATTTCTTATCTTAGGTATTTCCTAAAGAGGCCAGATACATGTGGCTGGGTCTAGATATTATTTAAGAAAATCTACATCATTGTTGTTTTGCAGCGAAACCTCATGTTCTCGAAATCGATGTTCTCAGGGCACACAGAGCCTTTCCTCGCCCAGGTCTAATCGTCAGCAGCTCTTCTGAATGTCCATTTAAAGGCCTCAGCTTCAACACGGTAATGCCATTATACAGTACCTATTAACTGCTGGTTTAGCAGTCCCATTTAGTAACTTTTCATCATAACCTTTAAAATGTTTGAGTATGAGTGAAAATAATGAATATACAGTAATTGCTGTCAACCAAACACTTCCCCTGATCTAATTTGAGATTACTTATTTTTTTGGGACCTGTTACCCACCAGCAGGAATTCCTTCAGGTGCTCCTCTATGTTCTTGTTCAGGTTGGTGAACATGGCCGCAGCTAGCTGGTTGATGGCCGTGGCCAGGCAGTGGATGTTGTTGTGGTGCCCTGAGGGAGATAAGAGAATGTGTCTCAGACTACATCATTTGAGACTCTAGCCAAGTGGTTGGAAAACACCAGGCTAGCAGCCAATACCAACTGTATTTTCTGTGTGGCAGAGCTATATATCTCCTTTGAGAAAAGCATAAAAGAAACGGGCCTGGCAATAACTCATTCTCATGATGCACAATATTTTAAGTCGGGTGGGGGGGAGCACAGCTGATGTTGGAAAAGTGTTGCTGCTGTGTGACCCGGTTTAGGATGCTGGGATTAGTTTGGGTCATTGGTTTGAAAAAGGAAATGTATCTGAGTACAGCTGAGAGAGACTGAAACTCTCCCAGCACAGACAGGAGAGACACCAGGATGTTTCTCCTCCTGATAATCTGTGATTTGATTTTTCTGATTAAACTCCTGAAAGGAACAGATGAGGGAGATAAGACAAGTTCCACGACTTGAACTTCATGCTGAGATCGGAAATAGGGACTAGGCCCGGGTTTTGAAGTACAGAAATCTTCTGCATGATTGACAATGAAGTGCTTATATTTACAGTATGGTGGGTCTGTGGAATAGGCTGCCAAGTCTGATGGTGCTGGATGCAGATAGATGAAAATATCTAAATAAGTTCAGTGTTTTTTGGATATGATGTCTAAAGAAAAATAAGTTTCTTGAATCAGTTACCTTGCCTAGAGTGGGACAAGTAGAGTGAGGTGAATGACCCAGTCCCCCCCCTTAGTCTGTCTGATATGGTGCACAAGCAGAGGAAGCACTTCACCATGGTGAGGCGGACACCATGACCAATTCTGCATGTGCCGCAGTGTGACCATGCACAAGGCCACAGCAGAGGTATGCTGAAGTTTTACATTGAAGTGGTACAACATCCTGTCTCGTTCCTTCAGGTGCACTCACTCATAGTTCCCACTTGTACTTCCCACAGTACATGCTGAACCTTTCCTGCACAGGACATTGTCATTGGTGTTCTGCACCTGGTAATATCTGTTGATTGTTCTCCAGGGCTCTACTATGCTGTGACTGGAAACGTTAATATCTGGAACCCTAAGGAATTGATGCACCTTAGCCCCTTCAAAATTTTAGATTTATTCTGAGTTAAGAACACGCAGTGGAGCAGTTTTCTGGAATGCTGCCCTTGTGCATTTCCTTGTTTACCTTGTGTCTTTTAAAAGCCATAATAAAATTCCTGTCAGACATGACGAAGCAGAAGCCATTGATTAATGTCTGGTGGTTGCACATGGTATTTCCTATGCATGAAGTAAGTCTGTCAAACTGACAGATGAGTAGCCTTATCTAAACGGGTCACAGAGAGTAACGCGACTGCCTCTCTGAGTGGTTGTGTTCACTGCCTGTGGGCTGGCCTGCTGGTGACTGGAAGTTGGCGATTGTGTGTTTCTCCCTGCATGCCAGGGAGTGGGTTGGCAGCCTCACCTCCATATTCACGGCTGTAGTAGGAATTCGGGTCAAAGGCCAGGACTGGCAGTGACACAGCAACGTACACCAGGAGCAGACAGGCTAGTTTATACTCCTCATCTGTAGAGGAGTTGTCTGTGGAGGGAAAACAGGGAGCAGGGATCTGAACAACAGCTGGGTTATAACCATCACAGACCACTTCATAGAGGGGAAAAGGTCTTTTCTTTAATTTTCCTGAGGTAAACATGTGCTCCTGTCTGTAAATAGACATCATAGTACAGCTGGATTCTCACTCCTGAGAATCACTTCTGTAATCTTTGTTTCCATAGTATACAATCTGTCATCCAATTTATTTTTCATTCATTTTGTTTATTAGGAAGTGATGCAGTCTTTCCTCTAAATAGGAAAACTACTGGTGTTCAGGATTTTAGGAATCATAGGAGATCACTTAAAAATACAACAGACAAGTGTAATATTTGCTCTGGCAAAAAAAGTGTTAGACTTTTTACCCATGCAGCTTCTCTTAGGAGTTACAACTTTGTTCAAGTCTTTAATCATAGTTGATAGATTTATTTCTGCCTGTGAATCCACATTCAATCAGTACAACCCCACATAATATAGTTAAGTGTGCAATATTAGGCCTCTGTATATTTCTGGCCTCTTTATTCTTATCTTAAAAGTTTGCATCTTGCTTAACTAGCACCTAAAGGTTCAAGAAGGCAATTGCACATAAAAACCTTACATGGGGGTGTGCAGTACTGTAGAGTATGTGGCATTTCAGAATGTGTTTGATTCTATAAGGTGGTGATGGACTACACTATATAATGTGTATTGAACAGTGTTTGCCTCATCTGCTAAATCAGCAAATGCTTTTGCATAGAGCTCAGACTGAGCACTTACTGTATGGGTCAAATATCACCAGCTGAAGCCTGGAATTTATATAACTGACTGTTACTCAGATTTGACTAGTGAAGGTTAACAGTTGGCTAAATGCATTCAGGGGCTAAGTAGGCATGGAATGGACATGGGTGGGACACAGCAGTCAGTCTCTTGCAGTCAGTGATAAAACACTGCTGAGTTCAAAGCATGAGAAAACGGTTAGCAGTTCTCTAGTGAGGGAGTACAAGTACAAGTACAAGGTCTTGGCTGAGATTAATTTCACAGAAATCTTTTGGGAATGACATGCCATCCTCAGTCACCTGAAAAATTTGTGGACCACAATTGGTTGGGTGACCATAAAAATCAGAAAGTAGTGGCTTCCAGTTGGCCCCCGTGCCTCTGATATGTGCTGCACCAGAGCGAGTAGGGAGTGAGAAAGTAACTGATTGATAAGCCTGGGGTCATCTTGAGTGTGAGTTTCCTTGGGATAGATTTTTTTGGGTATGAGCGAGTGACTTTTGTATTCTGATGACAATAAGCAGAGAGAGACATTCAAGAAATATTGCTAAAGCTTGGAGACAGCTTGGGTTTTGTATTCTGACTTACATATGCTCTGCGTATATACAGTAAACCCCTTTTTTAAGTCATGGATATGATTGTGTGTCTGTTTTCTTTAGACCTGCCTATAAAAAGGGACCTGTTTTTCACAACTCCTGTGCTGTTTTAGGGGTCATTACAAATTAAAAGGGTAACTTTCCTTAAAATTTCTACAAGAGCCTTTAACTTTACAATGTTTAAAACTTTAAAGTTAACACTTTAACAAGAGAAATTAGATAAATCCCACAAACTGAGGACATAATCCAAGGAATTGCGCAGAAATTAAAAGACAAGAAGGTGAAAAGAGGTGATTGGGCAGCTCACCTGTGCGCATGCTGGCCAGGGCGCTGACAAGAGCAGGATCGATGTCGCAGGGCACGCCAGAAGCAGTAGCCAGTTCAAACACACTGAGGGTCACCTGCGCCAGTGCAAACAGAGCGTTGCTGTTGGACATCTTAGATAGTCTTAAAAGTGGTGAAATGTGGTCTTACAACTTCTGTACAGCTGTGATTATTTGAACAAACGATGGGCGTCTGGAAAAGAGCCCAAAAAACACACTGCACTGGACATACTGAATGGCTTGAGGCCCATACCTCTGTGTCTTATGGCAGGACAAAAAAACTACCTTGATGTCAGTATCCGGAGAGACAAAATCCCTCAAGCACTCAATGGGACCCATGAGGAAGGGGCAGTGCTTGTGCATCACCTGAGGACAAACAGTACAGGTAATCAGATCAGGATGAAATACTCCTGGATACACTGAAAGAATTTATGCATGAACTTGTAACTTGAATTAGTTGTTGAGAGGGTAAGAACTGATGACAGGATTGTGACAAAAAAGTCTTGTTTCTTGAACCTGAACCTACTGTACATACTTAAAGGAACAAGTAAAGGTTAATTCCATGCTGAAGAGAGAAGAAAAGAAAGACAATTTTGTGTTTCCTTTCTTCTCTCTTCAGCATGGAATAAACCTTTACTTGTTCCTTTGCAGCCTGCGCATGCTGACGCAGCTTCCTACTTGAACTACATACTTAAAGGCTGTATCTGAGGCCTTGTGAAGTAGCTGATCCGAACTTACTTCTCTGAGGGATTCCTGGGTCATGGCCCGGAAGGACAGGATCACTCCAATGATGGTCATTCTCTTCAGGACATTGTCAGCAGCTGGGAAGTGGAGAGTGGGAGAGCACTCAGCCTGTGTCGTACTGAGCCAAGCCTATTACTTGAGCAAATCATATTGCAGGGTTGTCAAACATTGTCCCCTGTGGCTAAAATTGCAATTGGCATCTTTAGTCCACCATTTCTCTAACTGGCTTGATGTGTAATTCATTATGAATTAGCTAACTGGATAAAGGGTTGGCTATGCCTAAATCTGGTGTTTTGACTACCTGAACTGCAACAGGTTCTTTTGTAATGTAGCTGCATTTTTGATTAAGATGCAATGCCTTTCAGATCTTTGAATGGAGGCATAAATTCATTTTCTTGATTTGTCAGTGTTCTTGTTGCTGTTTACTGTATATACTGTAGTACTGTATATTTTCCTGAAAGTAAGAGTGATTCTTTTTCCAAAATATTCTGACTAGTTTTATTTATTTATGTTTCAGTAGCAGAATTTGAAATTAAAGGTGCCATGTGTGTATAGTGTTGAAAACTGTTCAGCTCGTTTTTCACCGATGTTGCTCACATGGCTTGTGTCTCGCCCCCCTCCCACTCATACCAGGCAGCCTCCTTTGAAGAGCAGCCATTTGTTCTGGTTTGTCGAAGCTGGATCTCATTTGTACTAAAATGTCCATGTTCTCAACCACAAGTTTCTGAAATAGAGTAAAAATATCAGTAGAATAAAGGAGTCATGCAAAACGTGAGTTTTGTTTTCAAACTGTAGAAGATAGAACCCATGTTTTATTTCTTCAAAATGCCCAAACTACTGTAAACTAATGTAATAGTCTTATTTTGAACCCAAGAAAACTATAACCATGTTAACCTAGAAGGTTGGTGCACTTGTTGTATTTGAGGAAGATGGTAGATACTGTAAATACTATACATGTAGCTCATTGGGGTTAAGCAGACAGAGTTTCACTGTAAAAAGAGCACGGCTTTAGAAAAAAAATGTATTCGCTGGCCCTGCATTTTTGAGAGTTAGCCAATACATTCTGTGTTTGCGTCAGGTGCTGCATTTCTCTGCATTTAACAGAATTAAATTGCTCACTGGCTGGCTGTAGGGACTGGGGCCCCCTGTGAGATGGTGTCTGTTGTGAGCAGAGAGGTTTATGGATATGGATCCCTACCTTTAGCTCACTGACTTGTGAGGTAATGTGCCACATCAGGTTCTCGCTTAGGAACTTCATCCCATAGGGGCCAATCAGCTCTGCCAGGGCTTGCATTTCTATCCAGAAGGCAAATAAAGAGGATGAATTCAACGCAGTGCTCTGTGTAAAGTCATGCATCAGGAGAGCGAGAGTCTGCTTGTGGGCTTCAGCCTGCACTGTGCGCTATGGATTCTATCTTCCTTGTAAAAAATACAAGTAAGATACCACAACTCAGTGTTGTAAGAATTCTGATTGCATGTATTTAACCTTGGATAAAGGTGTCTGCAAAATACATTAAATGTTTCCTTTGCATTATAGTTGATTGCATTACTTAGGCTGTGAAACCTTCACTGTCTTGTGACATTTATAGAATGCTTAGCAGTAGCGAATCCAAGAGAAGGCAGGAGGAGTTGAAGCTGGCTGTTCTCTGGTTTTGCCTCTGTAACACAGCGTGGTGTGGGGATCTGTCACGTGTGGTTTCCATGGATTTTCACCTGCATCCTGCTCATGCATTGTACTCATCCTGTACAACATGTATTGAAAGCGCATGATGATGCAGAAGAGCTTTGAGGACTTTATTTTCTTTAAATAAAAACAAGATGGGTTGAGGAAGGAATCCCAAAGAGGATGCTGCACTAGAAAACAAAATGTGCAACTAAAGGATGGAATTCCCTAGAAATTGTATCATTTTGGGGTGTGACATTGGAGCACGTAATCCTTCTTGTGTCAATGCAGACATGACATTAATTCTTGATTAAAATTTATTTTGTGCTTCACAAGGATTTGATCTTGCTTGACTTTGTGGCCCGTCCCAGTCTGGAGTGTTTAAATTAGCCCACAGCAGAAACAGGATATACTACCCTTTTGTAAATCAGCTTGGCCCGAGGCATTACTGAAACTAAACAAATGTAGACAGTATAAACAAACCGTGAGTGCCCTGGATCAGGCTGATGAATTCAGTGAAGCAAATGAAACAAAACGTGGCTGTAGTGAATGTGGGAGCTTTAAAAAGAGATCCCTTGCCCTCACCTGCAGTATCGGAGTACTGCTGGGCACTGAAACTCTGCTCGTTGTCATTGGGTTGGTTGATGAAACACCTCATGGTTGGAGAGTGGACGATCAGGGCGCTGCTGGCCTGGCGCAGGAGGCCCTCTAGGTACCTAGGTGATATAACGCAGGATATGTCAGTCAGCACCCCCCTCATTCCGTGTGACCTCTCACACCCTGCACCCTGTACCTCTTGTCCTGCTCCGACAGTAGCTACACTGTTTGCCGTGCATATACTGTAGCTAAGAATCTTTTTAAGGAGAGCAGGCGGCAGACATCCAGTAAACGAAATGTTTTACAGTACATCATCAGGAGGTGCTTATGCTGTTTAATTATAAAAAAGAGTCTGGGATTTTTCTTTGTTCGTGACAAGCTTTCAGCTGCCCAGGACAATAACTTTCCAAATGCCAGGCCACAGCTATGCAGCAGGCTTGCATCCTTCTGACTGCTGTCTGACTTTTATGGAGAGGCTAGTTTGTGCCCAAGCCAGTTCCACATTGGTTTGAGATGGGAACATCAGGTTATTACAGAATGGTGCAAGAATGAATTTTCTGACAGTGCATCAGTATAAGCTTGACATTTACTTACCTTTACTGTTTGCAGGAGAGATGCACCCGTCAGGAGAAAATGGAATAATCTGCATTTCATAGAAGGGCGTTTTATTTGGGCAGTAGTTTAGCCTTGTCTGCCATACCAGTCCTATATAGCTATACCAGTCCTCACTATCTAGGCATGTTATTGAAGCAAAAGCAATATTTAGTAAATAGAAGTGTGTCAACACCTTTCTAAACCTAGTATCCCCTCTGCAATTCTGTCTCCTTCAGTTCCTCTTCAAAACTGGCTTATTATATATCTGGAACAGACAGGTTCTGTATTTGGTTATAAAATACTGAACTTAACTGCAGTGTTTTGCCCTCACAGCCAGTCTCCTTTTGATAATTACTGGTAAGAGACAGGCTCATTTTTAACCAGCAGCTCAGCAGCTGTTACATTTTATTTCTTAAATGCACTATTCAAGTCAAAATGAGTATCCTAGTGACAAATTATCAAAAGTTAATTAACTAGAACATCAGCATCCTATGAAAACACTTTGGCAGCAGCAAATTATGATCTCCTCTGCAGTCAGGGTTTTGAAAGCTTTTTGCAATTGTCCAGCCTGCTGTGCTTTTTATTCTTACTACTTTTACTAAAAAATCTTACTACTATTATTTCTGCACAAGCAGTAAACAGGAAGGTCGCCAACTGATGTACTCGCTTGTGGCTTGGGCCCGGGAGAGGCTCATCTGTTTCAGTTTCCTGCATGGCATCATATTACTTCTGCAGGAATGAAACGTGGTGTGCATACAAATGGTACCAGACGCCAACATTACGGATGCCTACCAGAGGATGTGTGCAAGTCATTAGTTATGAGTTGATCTGTTGCTCTCTGGTGTGCACTGTTGTCAACAGCAAGGCGTTCCTCATGGCTCCATTTGTGTGCAAGTAAAATCCCACTGTTCCATGGTGAACCATATAACGATGAAATATAAAAATTGTGTTGCAGTTCCCCTTTAAAGAGGTGAGTGAGATGGTTGTGAATGAGCCATTCCCAACTTTGTTGTGACACCTGGTACAGAGCCGACTGTTATAATAACAGTAAACTTGGAGATTACGTCTCATTTTCCATCCGGGGATCCCAAAACACTAAACACTTACACAGTAAACGCAAGAATCAAGGAGTGAAACTGAACAGCAACACAAACAAATGTGCGAAGTGCTGCAGATAAAATTTGGCTCAGAGACAAAAGTTACAACAGCTCTTCAGTATGCTTTTAAATGCAGATAATAGTTGAACTCTTTCTGATCTGTTTCTGCAGCACATTGTATGGCATACATATGGAGTCTGTGGCAATTATATTCTGGTTAATAAAGAAAGACAAGGTAAGGTAAATTGTGGTAATTCCCAGAGTCCCGGCTGTTCTAAGGCAGGATAGTCCAGCAACAGTCCTGCAGGGCCAGTGTGTCCACAGTTTGTCTAGAGAAGCAGCAACTGAACAATTGGGAGAAACTATAAGGGTCACCCACTCAATCCAATAGCAACCTGAGCTGGAATGAGAACCTAGATATGCTCCACCAAGTCCCTAAGATCAGAGCTGGTCCACCTGGTTGTGGACTAAGGTGCTGTCACAGAGCGAGCAGTGCTGGAATCTAAGAGAGTTCTGCTATAGTAAAAACCCTGTTTTAGAAAAAAAAAGTTGAATATACAGTACAGCGAATGTCAAGTCATCCTAAAATACAACCTATTTGTTAGGTTACAGCATTGATTCCTTCAGTATTAAGTGTTTATGCTTAAGGTCTGCTTTTGTGCTTAAGCTATCTCATTTCTCTGCAGCTGGGCTCTATGTGAGCAGCCACAGTCCACTGGGGCCATGGAGAGTGAGCTAAAGCATCTGGAGGGGAGAAGCTGTGTTAGGTACCAGTTGGTATAGAGCGTGGTGATGGTCTGCTCCCCCTGGCTGTCCAGCGGCTGTGTCTGCTGCAGCAGGACACTCCTCAGCAGCCGCGTCACGTCCACGCTGATGTAGCGGGACAGGGTGTGCAGGGTGGTCATGTAGGCCCTGATGCCGGCCAGCAGGTCCGAGGGCCGGGCGATCTCCTGCGTCACCTGGTTGTAGTTGGCCATCTGTATGATGGTCCTAAAACGGCATGGAGTCTCTTCAGCTTCACAGTCCAGCATACATTTTTAAACACTTGGCACAGTTTCATTTCGAGGTCAAAAGCAGTTGATTTCTTTGAAGTAGCTCAAGAGATCATTTTGAAATGAAAACACTAGCACCCCTCAGCTGTTAAGAACCTCAGCTGGCCATTCCTGACTTAATCAGCCAACTAACTTGCTGTAGTATATTGATCAAAACTCAGGTATCTCACATCATATGGTTTAAAGTGTGCAGGGTGCTCTTATAAGACTGCTGGAATGTGTCCCACTTGTTAATATACAATAGCTCCTTTTCGTGGTATGAACCTAAATGGTTTGTAAAGTCTGTGGCATTGGAGAAGTTCCATCCTCCATGTTTTATAGATGACTTTAATCAATAATTAAAGAGCACATTCATTATGGAATAATCATTTGGTTAAATTAAGTATTTGAGAGCCCATGTACTGTAGCTATCCAGCAACAGGTTTGGAGACCCACTGTAGCAGTAACTGTAGGGTACTGTACTGATCAAGCTTGAGCTTCAGAAATGTATTTAAAAATATAGTTTGCATTAAGGCTTACTAATCTCACCGCTAAGTCCTCACAAAAGGACTAATCTCAGTAATCATGAAAATGTTTCTAGAATACATATGTACTCTAGTTAGGACGTTAAGGAAGTCTTCAAAAAGTTTCTTATTATCCAATATGCATCCTTAAGAGAGAAACCTATAACTTGTCAAGAAATGGTTAAGAGCAAGCAAGAGAATTGACGTGTCTTCACGTGTCAGATTAATGAGGAGAAGCCTGCAGAGAGGGTGTGGACAAGAGATGATATATCTGTTTGTAGTTCTGTACAGGTCTCTGTGTGCTCACAAGTATGGTTTTACTTTACAGCCCTCGAAATGCAAAGACGAATTAAAAAGGCACATAACCCCAAGCACTAGCTGGTGACTGAGGTGCAGCAGACTGTTAGGCGATCCAGTCCGTCAGTGTGTTTCAAATCGACATCCTGCACTATCTGGAGTTGGACTGTGCCTCTGATCTGCTGCTGTTGCACATTGGGCTTTCCAGCATGGTCTGTGTGAAGGTATTCATGCATATTATTAGGTCCTTTTCTTAAGCGTCCAGTAAAAACTTCTACTGACTTTGTCCAAAAGAAAAAGTATAGAGGTGAGATTTCAGGATAGCAAGTAGCGCGGGAGCTGGGATGCAGGACGGATGGGCAGGGAGGGAAGAGGGAGGAGGAGATCGTACTTTGCCAGGCGAGCCTC